TTCATTGCCGAAACGCAGGAAGTCGTGAAAGCACATCCCAGATTCATGCTGTTTGCCACTCAGAACCCCCCTGGACTCTATGGAGGCAGAAAGGTATCCTAATTGTCACTCTGATAAAGTGCCTGACCTTCGGAAAGGGCAATATTGTGGCAGTTGTGTCTAATGGAATTTATCAACCGAAAACACATGGAAATCATTGGCATAATGTCTTGATGAATCAAATCTGTTACTTATTTGTGGTGAGGTGCTTAAGATAGGCACAATAAAACTCCTCCATCAATATAGTCTCCTCAGTCAGTCAGGGTACTGCTTCCATGCACAAGAAAAGAGGCATATTGTTAAATGTGTACTTCTCAATGGGTAACATCCTTCCTGTTTCCAGGTTGCTGAATGGCTGGTAGTGAGTGGAATTATCATAATAGCGGTGGGTACTTGGCAGGATTGGGTGGATTCACACAGGGTTGTCCATTCTCTCCAGGTGCTGTCAAGGGCTTTCAGAAATCGCTTTGTTGAGCTGCATTTTGATGAGCTTCCCAGCGCCGAGCTAGAGATCATCCTCCATAAGAGGTGTAGCTTGCCCCCTTCCTACTGTATCAGGATGGTTAAAGTCATGCTGGAGCTCCAGGTAAGCCTTGCGCTGGGTGTAGTTCCTCTCCAGCCGGTCTGAAAGATCGTTTCTCCAAACACTTTGTTCCTCCTTCAGTCCCATCGCAGGGGGTCCACGGTGTTTGCTGGGAAGTACGGCTTCATCACCCTGCGGGACCTCTTCAGGTGGGCAGAGCGATACAGGCTTGAGGACCAGACTGAGAGCTCCTATGACTGGCTTCAGCATTTGGCTAACGATGGTACAGTGCGATCGTCTTAAAACACACACCGCAGTGTAGTGGTGGTGGTTGTCCCACCCGGCATAAAGTTTTAAAGTTAAGCTTAGCTAAGTAAAATGAGTCAATGGACGGGGTCTCAACTCTGTTGGTTCTTAATTTAAGAAAAGAACATTTTCTCAAAGACATCAAATTTTCCTCTTGCGCCATTTTTGTAATGATCGCCCCTGGTCCTTTTGGAAGTAAACTGTGGAAATGGATGAAGTTCACAGAGTACCCTCCACCGCTGTCACTTGACTGAAATCGCCTTTTGTCAGGTTTTATGCTGCTGGCAGGCCGTGTCAGGAAACCTGAAGAAGCGAAGACCATCCAGGCCATCCTGGAGAAGCATTTCAAAAAGAAGGTGAACCCAGAAGCTCTTTTCTCGGAGGAGGGCGTGGCAAGGCAGTTCGGTAAGTAAGTGGGGAAGTGAGGACAGAGCAGGTCAGCAGCGCACCGGAAAACTTTTCCGTTTCGTTACTGTGTAAAAGTGATGTTTACCATGTCTGTGCTTAATCCAGTACTGGTCCTGTAAGCGGTGAATTTTTCCATGGAAAAACGTATGCCGGAGCTCCAGTCTCTTGCGACAGTGAGAAAAGACAAGTTCAGTCTGGCTTTGTCTGTCTGTGAACGTTATGTAAGATTCTGACTGGAGGTGAATTTCAGGGAACAGAACTGATTTAGCATTCAGAGCTCTTCAGAGACAGACTATAGTAATTAAAGTCCACACAGCTTCAGTCACCCTTTATTTTGTGTTTTCTTACAAGGAGGTCTTATGAAGTCTGGGTTAGCAAACCTGGTTTTATATCTGTGCTACTGCTGCTTGACCTGCCCTAAGAACACTGTTTTTTCAAAACATCTCTGTCATGTGAACACCAAAGTACAGTCATTCCCAAGTCATCCTTGGTTTTGAAAGCTCTGTAATTAAAACTTTTTCTTTTCAGACAACAAACTAACCAAAATGACAGAACATGAAACTTATCTCTCTTCATTCATGGACAAAGCAGAAATGCAAAATATATTTTACAAATTATAGGCCAGAAAATGTAAAGTGTCCAAAATTTAAGGGATCTATAACTGGGTAACAATCAGAATAAGTTACTGATCTAATTTTTTCTAGTATTTAAGAAGGATTAGACAAATTTCTTCCAATTAATCCTTCTGTTATCCTTTTTAAAGTCCAAAATACAAATGCTGCAAAAAAAACTGATTTTTTTAAAATCTTCTCTGCCTCGATGTCCTTTCCCTTCAGTGTTTTTTGAACATGATTAAAATATATCAAATAACTTGAATACAGAATACAAGTGTTAAGCACAGCCAGTCTGCAGCTAAGTGTAGTTAATATGGATTATCTGACAAGTCGTTGAACTGGTCTAATTTAGGAAGTTCAGCTCTTATTACAGGCTGCATGTCTGCTCTTAAATACAAATTTTCAGAAGGTAATTTGAACCGAATGTTTCTCGACTCACGCTTTTGGCTTTACTCCATGCAACCTAGCTGTTGAAGCCCAGAAAACACGAAGATTTGTTTTAAAACGGGCAGCGAGTTCTGTGAGTTTGAGACTTGAAAGTTTTCCTCAACAGGTAATGGTGCGCCGAACGTGGCTGAGCTGCCCGAGGAGTTCCGCCATGTCGTCTGGACTCGGGGGATGCGCAGGCTGGCCGTTCTGGCTGGACGGGCCCTGAGATTTGGGGAGCCGGTCCTCCTCGTTGGGGACACTGGGTATGACCTCTGACCTCCCACTGCAACTTCATTTCCCGTTTTGCTAGTCTCGTGATGCTAATTAGTCAACCCGTGAATATTATAATTAAAAAAAAAAGTTTGTTAATAAAACGAAATTTAGGTCAGCGTGTATTCAGTGGGGCAGCACAGGCGCACAGTGGTTTTGTAGCATTGCTGCCTCGCAGTGCTGGGGACCTGAGCTCAATTCCAGACCTGGGGTGCTGTCTGTGTGGAGTTTGCATGTTCTCCCCGTGTCCGTATGGGTTTTCTCTGGGAGCTCCATTTTCTTCAGTCCAAAGACATGCTGGTTGGTTAATTGGCTTCTGCGACACTTGAAGTGTGCATGTTCTGTGACGGACTGACGCCCTGGCCAGGGTGCACCCTGCCTTGTACTCGTTTCTTGCTGGGATGGGCTCCAGCTCCCCTTTGACCCTGGATTAGAAGAAGCAGTTAGAAGATGGATGGATGGCTTCAGTGAACAATGTTGTGGGTTTTCGGTTTTACTTGTATTTGCGGTTTGATTTGCACAATGTCACGATTTTATTTCTGAAGTAAGTTGTCGAGTACATTGAAGCATGGGAGTGAAGTGCGTTAGGTCCGAATTGTGTCGGGTTCAGGAAACTGTAACAGATGTTGTAATAGATGTTTTATTCAACAGGTGTGGTAAGACCACTATTTGCCAGCTGTTTGCAGCTCTGGCAGGACAGAAGTTCTTCTCCGTGAATTGTCACCTGCACATGGAGACATCAGACTTCCTGGGGGGCCTCAGACCTGTTAGACACACAAGCAAAGAGGAGGTACCTGTCAGCAGGCCACTTCTACAAGCATTCATGGCACTAGTGGTAAAACAGCGTCATAGGCAGAAGATATTTCTGTGCTTATAAATGTTTGTTGGAGTTTTTAATTACCTTGGGTGCTGTTCTTCTTGTTAAAAGAAATATTTAAGCAGTGATCCGAAAGAGCTAGTGTTGCCCGTCTTTAGCATTCAGATTGCTGCTTTATCAATTTGCTCCAGGTGAATGGATCTATATGGAATTTAAAAAAGAAATCCTATACGCCTTATAAAACGGCAAGCTGTAAATGGCGTTGGAGCCAACTAGATGCTTGATGTATCTGAAATGAGATTATTTTCTCAGTACGTGGTCAGATTCATTCCACTTGATCATTGTCCTAACCATGAACAGTTGTTCCAGGCTCAAGTGAATTCATTCAGGACCCGTTAATGGTCATTTTCATTAAAACATGTGGTGTAACGCAGGGTGATGGTGAAGGCACACGACTGTTTGAGTGGCATGACGGCCCCCTTGTACTGGCGATGAAGGAGGATGGCGTGTTTCTCCTGGATGAGATTTCATTGGCAGACGATTCTGTACTAGAGAGACTCAACAGGTAAGAGAAAACAGACTCGGCTAGTGGTAATTTATCTTGAAGTTCCACCTACACTTTGTTGCAGTCTCGGAGAGGATAACACATTTTTAATTATTTTTTCTGTACAGATTTTTGTCATTGCGTTCATATCATTTTGTGCAATTCAACAAATAGGTCTAAAATGTATTTTCTGTCTGTAAATTGCTGAGAATGAATCTCTTGAAATTTCAAATTGCTGGCAAGCCAACCAGATCCTGGTTTTAAAATAGTATGAAACAAATGAGTCATGGATTGGCGTGTTTGTTTTGTGCAGTAGTTGATTTGGCTGATGTTCCGAAGGTTACAAACTCGCAAGTACTGAATCGTTTTTATTCAGAAGTTTTAGATGTTTGCTTTTAGACGGCAAATGCCGAAAACATTTCCCGACTCACATTGTGCTGGATGTTCCTCAGTGTGCTGGAGACTGAGAAGACTCTGGTCCTGGCTGAGAAAGGCAGTGGAGACAATGATGACGTGGAGCTGATTACAGCGGGCAAGAAATTCCGTCTCTTAGCAACCATGAACCCTGGGGGAGACTTCGGTAAAAAAGAGGTAAGACTTATAGAGACCTGGAAGAGTTTAGGCAATGATATAACACTGTGTAAACAGATGAGGTAGAAATCTTTGCCAGGTTCCTTCTCATGACGTGTGATCATATGGGCATGTACCATAGGTATGTTCGAATGTAGTCTTACACTTTCTCACTCGATATGTAGCTAAAGGTAACTGTTATAATCAAAATGTTGTGTATTTTCAGCTCTCCCCAGCTCTAAGGAACAGGTTCACAGAAATTTGGTGCCCACAAAGCAACAGTCGGAGCGATTTGGTCCAGATCATTCAACACAACTTGAGGTCTGGACTTTCTCTGGATCATATCAATCATCAAGGTTAGTCATTCATCTAGCAAAAGAGTCTGAACCCCAACCCCCCCAACAAAAACATTAACTACATAAGGTTAAACTAATGAGTGTGGTAATGAGTGAATAATTTAAACCTCTAATTGGGGCATCTTTCATGAGGGGTTTTGTTTTTTGAAGATTCGGAGCTAGAAATGACGAAAAGCAGCTCAATGTTTTTTCTTGGTAAAGAAAAATTGAAAGCAGTGAAAGAGACATTTGTTTGTTTTTGCTCCAGGAAGAGACATTGCAGAGCTCATGCTAGACTTCATAGACTGGCTGACCCGCCAGGAATTTGCACGGCGCTGTATCCTAAGTGTGCGCGACGTGCTGTCGTGGGTGAACTTCATGAACCTGGTGTCTGAAAAGACCGGCGCACAGCCCAGGCTGACGGACGCAGACTGGGACCTGAAAGTGGATCCAGTGACTGCGTTTGTACATGCGGCTTGTCTTGTGTACATTGATGGAATTGGCTCAGGTAAATCCCAAGCACAAAGAGACCTTGAACTCTTGACTCTGCTAGACTGAGAGAAAAACCTTTCCCATTCAAACACCAGTATGAAACATCATTTCCAAAGTCATTTTCGGTAGAAATTTGTTGAAAGTTGTCTTACAGGTGTAAATTCCGAATTAAAAAACAACAGCAGTTAAGTCAATTAATAAAATTATGAACCATTTATTGTTTTGTATTACTGTTGGGCTCTTTTTTTCCCCGTTAGGTCATTCTATGATAATCCTGTATAGTTGCTGATCTGTCAGTTTTCACACCCTTTGTGTTCCAGGCACAACATCCCCTGCAGCAGAAAGTGCTTTTGTGGTTCGGAGAGCATGTCTGGATTTTCTTCACAAGAAGCTGCTCAAATCTGTGTCCCTGAACGAAGAAAGAATAAGCGCGCTCCAAATTTACGAGACCACTTCGGCAAGAAAACCTACGTGGGGAGAGAATTGTTTTGGGATCCATCCGTTTTACATAGCAAAGGGTGATTTTTTTTTTCTCTCTCTCCAAAGCACATACATACAGCATCCAGTGACCATTTGAAGGGGTGTATTTAAAGATGGCCGCCGTTTTGTCCGGCTCTTATTTTCACAGGCCCGCTGCGTGACGCTGGCTCTCCGGCGGATTACGCTCTAGCTGCGGGAACCACTGCAGTGAACGCGCAACGGGTTCTGAGAGCGCTGAAGCTCAGCAGGCCTGTCCTGCTGGAGGGATCGCCAGGGGTTGGCAAAACAAGCTTGGTGGCGGCTCTGGCAAAGGCTTCTGGGAACCATCTCATTAGAATCAACTTATCGGAGCAAACTGTAAGATACCGTCTCTTAACTCGCTCTGTTTTTTAGGATAAACAGTGAAGCCGAAATGTAGATCCAGGGGGTGGTGGTGGGTGTAATGTTTCGCAATAATGTAAGGATGTGATGTCTTTAAACTTTGTGTTTCCGAATTAGCTGTAGCCCTGAGTTTGTCAGAACCCATTCGAATATGATGTTTACAGTTAGATGAGAAGCTGTGGGCCGTTGTCTTTTTGGCTGCAGGACGTGACGGACCTGTTCGGGACAGACCTGCCTGTGGAAGGGGGAAAGGGAGGAGAGTTTGCTTGGCGTGATGGCCCTCTACTGGCAGCCCTGAAGGCTGGTCACTGGATCGTACTGGACGAGGTACCGAAGGGAAAGATCACAGCAGAACACTGTCGCTATTAGTGTCACACAAATATTCTACTGACTCAGAAATGCTCATTTCTGCAAAAAGCTGGTTTGTTTCCAGTTGCATTTTCTAAAAAGAAAATTGTGCATTTGTTAAGGTAAATCAGGGATCATTTCCCTTCTGGTCAGCTGGAGTGGTATATGGGCCATATCAAACTGTGTATGCTCTGATTTTAACCTAAATAAGCAGATGATAATCCTCCTGTCTGTTTGTGCTGCAGCTGAACCTGGCCTCTCAGTCAGTGTTAGAAGGGCTGAACGCCTGTTTTGACCATCGAGCAGAGATCTTTGTGCCCGAGCTGGGGATGAGCTTCCAAGTGCAGCACGAGAGAACCAAGATCTTCGGCTGCCAGAACCCTTTTGCGCAAGGCGGAGGCCGGAAGGGCCTGCCCAAGTCCTTCCTCAACAGGTTCACGCAGGTGAGTCCCACTGCTGCTCCTCCAGCAATTCTCCAGCTCTGGGGATTGTGACAGAGTGGCGTTTTCACAACTTATTTTGTATGATGCTGCATGATGCATTAGCAGAGTTTCTGTTTTTCTAATGAAGTTGTGGAAAAATCATCATTCTCGCTAATTCTTTCAACTGGAAGTATATAAAACAGTAGCTCGATTTTAAACCCTTCAAGGTCAGCAGCTTTTACCACTGCCATTTGAGGGACTTGATCCAAAAAGGGAAAAGTGATTACAGATGCTCCTCTGTTTTCCTTCCTTCTTCGAAAAGTTGCCTGGAATCTCTGCCCTATCCTCCTGTTTGCATGTCTGTACCCTGGGATGAACTTGTGCAGTCCTGCCGTTCCTGTCCTGTGCTCCCAGAATATGTTTACTGGGAATAACAGTATGATAGTGGATGAATGCACAGATGTATGATGCACCTCGATTGCATTTTGGGTTCAGGCAGGTCATCTCTAGTGCTTCATGTGTTCAGGTATATGTGGACCACCTTTCAGATGAAGACATGGAATTGATCGGGCAGTTTGTCTTTTCTGCCATAGACCACCACATCATTTCCAAAATCGTGCAGTTCAGCAGTCAGGTAAGAAAGCGAGGCAAATCGCATTTCTTTTTTGTTTGTACGCCCGTTTTTTCCAGAAGCGGGATTTGATGAGCAGGGGTTGAAGAAGGATTTGGAAATGGCTTCCCCGCTGCTGGTTTGTGCTGAGAGCAGTGCAGCGTGGGAATGTCCCGCCTCCCCTTCCTGTGCAGTATTGATCGCTTCCCCTGAGCCAAGCGAGGACATGCCGTCACCACGCACTGCTGCTGATGTGCCCTGGCATGCAGATTGTAGGCCATTAACAAATGGAAATATTAAGCTGTTGGCTCATAGAAGACCAAAATGTTCCCAGAATAGATCCACTTGGAGCACTGACCTTTAAAGATGCTCAGGGAACAGCCGACCTTACCAGTCACAGAGGGTACTTGAACTCTTGTGGCAGAGCAGAGTTGACGATTTTAGCAGTCTCTGACGGAACCATTTTTATCATTGCTACTTTCTGGCACTCCAAAGTGGCATGCCTACCTTACTCCAGTGGTGACCGTATGTTGTTAACTCCCAGAGCAATAAAGTCAGCATCACACAGGTACTGTACGAGTATACGTTTTACATTATTGCACTGTGGGGGTAATTATAAAACAATTTCATTGGGTTATCATGAGTGATGGTAGACAAAGGCTTACCACTAAAGAAGTAAGCCATAAGAAAGCTTGCTAGCTGTGCACTGTGACTGTATGGTTATCTGGTACAGCTGGTTAGCTGGTTGTTACACTTGCTCTGTGGTAACTCTGTAGGTGACGAGCCTTCACGAAAAATGGCACTTGACAGCATAAATACCGTTTGGATTGTTTGACTTTTGTGCTAGGGGAAGTAACCGATTTTCAACGGGCTGTTCTCGTCGTTTTCCAGCTGGTTCGGGAAGTGTCTGTTGAGAGGAAATGGGGCCAGAGAGGAGGCCCCTGGGAGTTCAACCTCCGGGACCTGTCCCGCTGGTGCCAGCTGATGCAGGCCGATCAGTCGCCGGGCTTCTGGGACCCAGGGAAGCACGTCGGGCTGGTGTACGCCGACCGGATGAGGACCGAGGCAGACCGGGCTCAGGTAACGCCGGACCTGGTGATCGTAATGGGGAAAAAAACAACACGTTTTTGATTGTGTCTATGACATTTAAGACACGGGTGTTTTCCAGATGCTAGTTCAGGTGGGTAGCTGTGTCAGCATGCGTAGGCTGCAAAGGAACAAGTAGTAGGTTTATTCCATGCTGAACAGAGAAGAGAGAAAACGGAACGTCTCGGCTGTGAAGCCTTCTTCAGGTGTGAGAAAGACAGGGCAGACATTTTCCAGAAGATGCTTCTTTCAATGATATTTGGGGAAAGTGAAGGTGAAGGCATTTTAAAGTTAATATCTCCAATTAGCGTTTTTTCATTCATTCCATCATAAGCATTGTGAACCATAATTGTCACAAATTCCAGGCTTTCATTAGTAAGTCTTAATTTTGGTTTATTTTTTTGTTGCATCCATGTGTTATCTAAATGTACATGTACAAATTGTCAGTTCGATGTTTGGCGTAGTATCTACAACATTTCCTCAGCCGCTGAAAGTCTCCTGTGCATCCTGCAGGTGCAGACATCGGTGTTTTGTTGGCGCACAGCAGCCATTTGTGTTAACAAGGCTGTTGGGCTTATGTTTTGGCTACTGTTTTGAGGCACCAGGGTGCCATGGTGGGTTGTTCCATTTTTCTGTCAGTTCTAAGTGACGCACAATAAAGAGCAGACGTCTGCGAAACCTGTCCCCCTCGGTCCATGGGTTCCTGCAGGGTGACGATCAGCCCCGTGTGCAATCAACTGGCCCCTCAGGACAAATTCATATTTTAATTCATTTTTCAAGGGAATGTTTATTTTCAATTGCATATTCCTTGTGAAAGATTTCTTCAAATTTACCTTTTCTCATCTTTGGTCTTGCATACTGGTCATTTTGCTGTTATTCTTGGTCTCTCACAATTAATGTTATTTTGCAAAGAGGATACAATTTGAGTAACCTGAGGGTGTACAATGCTGTGACACTCCTATTGGTAAGGAATTGTGGACTGAGCTGTGAAGCTTTCATACAAACCTCATACCTTGTCATTTCCATGGTTAGTACTGAGAAGTCTCAGAAACTCCTATTATACTGGAAAAATGAATCTCACAAAAGAACAACTGAATAGAAACTACAGCAAACAATCAAAAATACTTCCACTTCTGAAGCATGGGGGCAGTGTTGGTTGTGAGTACTGATTGCAATAATGTGAATTGGCCTTTGTTTCTGGAAGCTGCTCTTAACAGTTTAGTAATAGTTGATTTTCCCTAGCAAAAATAGACAAAAAGCTTAAGAGTGAATTTAACCTCACTTGTGTGCAATGAGTGTGCTTATCTGTTAACAAGTCGTGTAAATGCAAACTGCTGTAAAGTCTTTATGAGTTTGTCACTGATAAAGGAGCTGTGAAATTTATCAATGTTTTTTTGTTGTGGAAACTTCTGCTTATAAAGTAAATGTGTTTTAGGTCCTGTCTGTATTCAGGAATGTTTTTGGTGAAGACTATGTGCCGTACACTGGCTCTCTGCAGTTTCACCTCACTCCTCTCAGTCTTCAGGTGAGTCAGACTTCTCAAATTTCATCTTTCTGGTGTTGGATTCACATCCCTTCGGGACACATCTCGATTCAGTAGTTACCTTTCAATCTTTTAAAAGAACGTGAGAAAACGCTTTACAGTATTGATTTTTTTTTTAAATTGTTTTTGTTTTCAAGTTCTTAAGTTCTAAATTCTCCAGCGCACTGATTTCTTTTTTTAAATTTCAGTGGAATACATGTGAAAGCTTTTCATGCGCGTCTGCCGTAGGCCGTCGAAAAAACCTCTCGGCCATCTTGTCTCCTCTTTCCCGTTGCCGTTCCGTGTTCAGGTTGGCCATTCCGTCCTCTCCCGCGGTGGCGGCGGCGGCGGAGGCGGCAGCTCCCTGCGCCAGGAGCTGCCCCTGTCCATCCTGCACCAAGCCCTTCGGCCGCTGGAGTCTCTGATGAAGTGCGTGGAGGTGGGCTGGATGGCCATCCTGGTGGGCCCAGCAGGTAGCGGGAAGACCAGCCTGGTCCATCTGCTCTCACTGCTGGCCGGTCACAAGCTGAGAGTCATGGCGATGAACAGCGCCATGGACACCACAGAGCTGCTGGGTGGATTCGAGCAGGTAATGTTGTTTCTGCATAAAAGGAACTCCTGCACAATCAATTCTTTGTTTCTGAATGCCGAGCAATGCTATGGGCACCACAGAGCTGCCGGGAGGGTTTGAGCAGGTAATGTTTATGCATAAGAAGAAATAAAAAGAGTTTCCGCACGATCAGTTCTGCTTTGTTTCTGAATGCCGAGCAATTCGCTTTACACATCTTTGAGCAGATCTGTTCACTTTGTCCGCAGTCCAGGCTCTGTTTCAGAAATGTCTGGTTGGACTTTTCAGATTATTCGGGATTCTGCCGAGTTGAACTTTATTTGGTGTCTCAGCTGAGCTCTAATGGATTGACAGGAGTTAATCTGCACTTGCTGTCGGTTCTGCTTGTGTGTCCTGCTGCTGTAATGCAGACACCAGCTTGTCTCTTCCTGTTTCTGACCCGAAGGTGGATCTCATGCGACCCTGGCAGCAGCTTTTGGAGAGCGTGGACTATGTTGTTGCTGTGGTAACCAGAAGAGGCCTTCTGTCTCTAGACGAGGCTGTTCCGGACACGGAGCACCTGTTAAAGAAATGGAGTGATTTCCGCAAGGCCCAAAAAAAAGACCAGCAACGGAGTGGAGTCAGTACTGAGGCCCTCAATGAACTGGAGGCCATAATCTCGTTGTTGCAGAAACTCAACACCAAGCTAAAGGTTTTTACAGGTGAATGGAAATATGAAAAATATTCTCGAAAGATTCTTGCTCTCCTTGAGGGGAAAGATTTGTTTTTGCTCATGTGAAACCAACCTTTCAGTCATTGCAGTGAGGCTTAAACAACTTGATGTTTTGAAATGGAAAATTATCAGAAGAGATCTAAAATATTTGCTTTACATGAATATTTCCATTGAAAATTGGCCTTTTAAACTTCATGACAAACTGAAGTAATGGTGCCATTTTTCATTCTGTGTTGTGCTTTATGATCACGCTTGTCCATGTGACCTCGTAACTCCGTCTGCTTCCCATGCTCTCTGAAACGGTTAATCTCTAACTTCACCTGCTGAACGTTTGCAGACATGTCCAAGCTGGTACCCAGTTTCCTGCAGTTCAAGGAGAAGCACCGTCAGGTCGTGGGTGGTCACCTTCATGGTACTTTTGAGTGGATTGATGGGATGCTGATTCAGGCCCTCCAAGCGGGTGACTGGCTACTCATGGACAATGTCAACTTCTGCAGGTGAGGAGCAAATGGATGACATTACCCACCCTGGAGGTTATCGGTTTAAATCTGATTTGAAATTTCAGCAGGGCTGTTAAGCAAATCACTCAGCGTCTCTAAATTGTCTGTCTGTTCGTGTTCGTTGGTAAAGTTCTGCCTTGCGCCCTGTGCTTCCAGAATGGGCTGCTGCAACACTTGCCAGGAATAAGCACATTTTCTGATAATTAACGGATTCTTTTGATTACTGTGCATTTTATAGGGATTTTGAAGTATTTGGAAGAATCTCTACCAGGGAAAAACAAGATGGTATAGCTATATCAAACTATACCCTTGCAATTGCAATAGATCTCTGTAATAAGAACGGTAGGGCTGGAAGGAGTGGAAAATTGTGGGTTTTCCTGATATATCCTTGAAGATTTGTATTGTTGACACTAGTGTCAGATCTCAGAAGTCGAGCAAGGCTTGGTCAGTACTGGGAACTCTAATGAAATTCCCATTTAACAGTTGTGAGTGGAATTGAATTGCACCAGAAGACAAGATAGAATTCTTCTCTTTGGACCAGAATGTCTGAACCACAGTCCCAGCAAGGTCACGGTGGCTGTAGACTGTAGGACATTCAGCCCTTTGAATGGGACTACTTTAGTCTTTGCAGTGTTTAAATGTGTAGGGGGTAATAACCCTGGGGACAAAGCTAATTTCTACTCTGGACTTAAACCATTTGGCAAACATAAAGCCATCTCATAATTCTGTTGACACACGAATTTCACATTTCGTCACCTGACACACAGTGTAGTGGAGCTGCTGGACGATACAGCTGCCTCACGTCACCCAGCTGGGCCCCGCATTTCAGCGGTATATGAAGAGGACCCTTCCTGTAAAATTAAATGATGCAATAAATTTATGTCATATTCTTCAGGGTTCCTTAGGGATGTAAAGTGCTTTCTAATGAATTAATAATCAGTTAATAAACTGTCGAGGAGGACTCGGTGTGTAAAACGGAAAGAACACTTGTGTGGCTGCATGATCTTTACCAGCCGTTTTCCTTGCACGGTTCTGGTTGGTGTGCGTTCTGCGCCGCTTTGACGGTGGTGACTCTTGTGCTCTGTGCAGCCCCTCCGTGCTGGACCGCCTGAACGCCCTGCTGGAACCCGGCGGGGCGCTCTCCGTCGGCGAGCGCGGCGTTATTGACGGGACGACCCCCACCATCACGCCGCACCCCAACTTCAGGTGAGCTGCTGGGAGGAGCGCGGGTTCATTGCAAAGGACGGTGATGCCCCTTTTCCCATCTCGAGCGGGCGAGCCGTAACGCTGAGCGAGACCCTGACCGGGTTACTTGCGTTCCGTTGATTTCACACAGTATCCTTCTCGGAAGAATTTGATCACGAGTACGTTTCTGTCTAAAATGTGCCGACATTCTTGTGCAGCTACTCGTCGTTTTTGCGTGATGTTTGCATTCCAAGCCCTTCCTGGTTGCTTCTCCCCCCTTCAGACTGTTTCTCACCATGGATCCTGTCCATGGAGAGATCTCCCGTGCCATGAGGAATCGAGGAGTGGAGATCTACATTCCCGGAGAGAGCGAGGGAGCCCCCTGGGACCCCCAGGATCTGAAGACAGTGCTGCATGCGGCTGGCGTGACGGGAGACTGCACATGTAACCTGCTGTCTGCGGTGCATGTGGAGATCAAGGACACCATCTTGGGTGAGTTGGAGGAAGGAGCAACTGTCAACTGTCAGTGCTTCACATACGGAGTTTATCTTGGAAGTGTGTCAAAGAGACCAGCGCTGAGGGAGCACGTCCACTGGTGCTCAGTTTACATGTATGGTGGCCGGAAACAGCTGACAAGCAACCCACATGAGTGCAAGCTGGGTGGTGTAACCAGGGCCGTCTCAAGGGGTGGGCGGGGCTGGTGTCGCAGGGCCCGGGGCGGGGTTGGTGTCACGGGGCCCAGGGTGGGCGGGTTCTTGTGTGTAGTGGTGGCGGCAGGGAGCAGCGTTGAGGTGATGAAATGGCTACCTGACTGCCCTGCGCAAACAGACATACACAACCGAACAGAACTACTAATCGCCGTTGTTGCTAATGCTATCGGTACCTTCGGGTGTCTCAGTGCCAGCATCCTTGTCGTCGTCGTTGTCGAGATCAGTACCCATGTCCGTTTCTCCTGGTTTTTACAACGCACCATTCTGAAGACCCTTTAAGGGTCACATTTGCATCCTCCCTCTTCTGCTTCCCTTTTCTTTTCTCGCACCCGCTGTTGAATTTTCTAAATCTGTCCCGATCTCTGCTTGTGCTCGCCATTTTCCACCGGCTAACTTTTTCCCCAGGCTGGTTTAGTTCTGCCGTAATCACTTTGCAGCTCATGGCCCATGACGTAGTTATCGCGGGACATGCCTCCAGTTCAAATTAGAGTTTTGTGTTTGCGTTATTAAAATATTTAAACATGTATGGATTTATATTTCTATGCGTTTGGGGATTCTCCCCCTCCTCGAGACGGCCCTGGGTGTAACATACAAAACTGTCATTTCAAACTGGAAGAAGTTTACAAACAAATATAGGAGCGTGTGTCAGCGCCCTCGTTCCTCTCTGGGTTGGGATGCTCATGTCCGATCACGCCGATTTGTGTTTGCAGGCTCTCCAGCCTCCTCGGTCTCCTCTTTGCTTCACGCTGCTGCCCTGCTGAACAGCCAGCTGCAGAGAGGCCGGAGCTTGCCCAGCGCCCTCCAGCAGGCCTGCAGAGAAGTGTACTCGCTCTCCCAGCGATCCCCATCCAGCCAGAAGGTATCCGCACTCTGTGCGATTCAGTGTCCTCATTTCACTGCGAGATCCCTCCCACAGCTCGCCGTGATCCGCTGGCATACAGGCAGCCAGCTACGATACTCTACCTGCACGATGCCGTGTGAATACTGTGTACTTCTGAGGTTTCAGATGTTTTCCGTCTTCACAGCATCATTTTTTATGGGGTGGCATAAATGATAGTCTACATTTCAGCATGTTGAAATTGGCGTTTTTTTAGCTGTTTTTTTCCTATTGGAATATGTCTGTATTAATGTGTGTCCAAATCGGTTTAAATCCCAAACAGTGTTGATTTTTAAAAAATCAGCGGCTTCCATGTTTTTTTTTTTTAGTGATGTGACAGCCGTAGATGTCATGACAGTATAAACCATGAAATAAAGGAGTCTTTGTTTGCAGTCCAATCTGGAGAGAAAGAGTAAAGCAGTGGGTTTTCTGTATCAGTTGGTATCATTTAGCTTCAGTGTGAAACACTTCTGGTAGTTTTCTTTAGCAGTCCTGTTGCGGTAACGCGGTACGTTTGCGCTCCTCCTGCTTCCAGCAAGCGGCGGCGATCATAGAGAAGCACGTCTCGACCATGGCCTCTGACGCGTCCTGGGGAGATGGCCTGCTGTGCGCTGGTGTGTGGCCAGACGGGATCTCCTCAGCCGTGCAGGCAGCTGAGGACTCCTGTTTCTCCACCGTCCGGAGAGATGGACAGGTTCTGTCCTTCTGTCTGTCCACGCTGAGCCTGGCGGGAAAGAGGTACGTTGTGTGGTAGCCCTGCAAGTCTTTTCATCGCTGGCTTTATAGGTGCAAAAACATCAAAACTGTATTCAAGCTGTGTTCAGCTTTTTATGCCTTTCACATTTTTTGCCAGTGTTAATGTAGCTTGAAAAAGTAATGTATCTAATAGCAGAAGGAGGGAGAGAGAGGAGTTTACTTTGCCATATGTACATGTGCATTGGGATTCATATCTGCACAGTACAACACTTTCATGCAATGTGCACAATACATTACAAAACAGTAAATAATAAATAATGACAGTACAACAAAGCACAACAACATACAATGGCTGCTACTGAACAATTAAATGCGCAGAACAATAAACACATGGTAGGGCCTAGTAAGTCCAGGTGAATTATATTTGCATTGCAGGATTAGGAGCAGAAGTTCATTTAATTGCTTCACATTTGCAAGTGCGGGTGGAAGTGTGTCATTTTTGGATTAGGTTTAGTAGTTCTCCCTGACCTCCCCAGGACCTGTCCCCTGAGCCTGAGCGACATGCGGAGAGCCCTGCAGGGCGGCAGTCTGGAGGGCCAGGTGTTTGTGGGAGGGGGCGAGGCGGACCCCGAAGGCGAGGCCCTCCGACGCCTGCCAGCAGCCGTGAGGCTGGTCACCGAGAGGGCCTCCCACGGCGACTGTCTCCTCAGGGCCAGCTGGCTCTCTCACCTGTCCAGGAGCCACAAACACGCCCCAGGTGCGTCTTCACGGCGACCGAGAATCCCTCAGACATCCTCAAAGCTTTGGGCCACCGAACCTCGTTACCACGTGCCAGTGTATCAGGCTTTACTTGGGGGCGGAACAGTTTAGCAAAAAAAGTAGTATGAAAAGGATATTGAAACCTGGTTATAGCTCACCCAAGCATTTTCTGAATGGAAACACTGAACGTGGGTTCACATGTTTTTACTGTCGGGGAAATACTGAGTTCAAGTCTGAGAACAGTAAAATGTGTACACCTCTATTTTCATATTCTCTTCTGCTTATAATGATGAATATTAGAATTTTATTTTCTATATGTAATTTAAACCAATCTATGTTACTTCTGGTTGTATACTGTACAGATCCCATTATGGCTTTGTTTCTTGGGGACTGAGCAGTATTCCTAGCAAAAGTCTTTCTTTTCAGCCCTGTACATCGTACTGTCTTCGGTGTGCCTGTCACAGAGGCAGGTGTTGCTTAGGAGATACATATTCTGTCTTGCAGATTTGGTCCACATCCAGCTGGAGGCAGGGGTCAAGGCTCTGAAAGCAGCTTTCTCCAGTAAACTGAGTGAAGAGGGCAAACATCTGATCGGCCTCCTGCAGTCCCACGCTAAAGGTAATCCATCACCTTGATCCTCTGTGTGGAATTCGATGAACTCCCAGAATGCCATCCTCTGCGCTGGACTGCCCTTTGACCCAGATAAACATGCTGGCAGTCAGAATCATTGACTTTCAGTTGTGCTTACTTTCTGCTCTGTCTCAATAACGCAGATGCGAAGAAAAGTTAAACGTGTACGTCTCCTAAAGTACAGATGGTCTTCCGGTCACGATTTTGTAGTTAACAGAAATTGTAGGTGAAACTGTACAATCTGTATATCAGCCTTCGTGTCCGTGAGGCAACAAAGCTAGTGATTATTTAAAAGATGTAAATGAGTAATAGCGCGTTGTGTGTGGTACTGATATTCTTATGGGTTTTTTTTAACCAAATTGAATTAATTTAAAAAGTAAATGAGATCCTAATTGCAAGACTAAAAGACTGTTTGGTGTTTCATAAAGACGGAAGCAATATTAAATCCCCAGATATTTTAATTGTTTAGTAAATGCTCTTTGCAGACTTATTAGTTACTTGAAATCGCCTGTTTTCCTACTATAGAGCTGCGATAATACAACGTGTATATACTGTACATTTTCCCTTCTCTTTTGCAGATGACAGCAGGGTTTTGTTGGACATGCGGTGGAACAAACAGTACCTGGATATTTTAACAACCTCTTTCAACTTCGGGTCTCAGGAAAGCTACATGGAGTACCTGGAGTTCCTGAATTCAGTAACAAACAGGTCTGTAGTATTTTCCATTCTCCTCATAGGTCACTGGAACTTCTGGTTTACACTTAGTGTAGAGTGTGTTAGTTGAAAGAGCTAATTATTGTCCCAACGTGTGCTGATCACACTGGTACTAATACAAACCTGATTGTGTTGTAGGCTTCCAGATCATGTTTGGTAAATAATCCAGATTTGGAAAACCAGTGAAGAGTATTGGAGTATTAATGGTGCTAAATGACTTACTAATAATTAAACAACTTAATCCCTACGCCTTTGTTTGTTTTTTAAGGATGATTCTTCTAATGGACAGAGAGGAGCAGGCCCATAAAGAACAGGTGCTTCTGGGTTGTCTTGCTGCTAAGAAATCCGCTCCGAACAGTGCCTTGAGATTATCAACTGCCTTCTGTAAAGGTAAACCAACACAAAGAAATTCTGTAGATGTAGGGGATATGGGGAAAAAAAAATGTTTGTTGACCACATTAAATTAAAATTTTCTGGTAATATTTTGGTACTTGTCTTTGTTTAGCATTTTAGGTCTTGATTCAAAGTAGCGGCATAATGCCCCTTTTGTTCCAGGCCAAGTAAATCTAGCGTTGATATCATAATCTTGTTTTTTTATTATATGTCCACTGTTTTCTATGGGAAAACCTTTTGTTTTTACCAGTTCATTGGCAAACCGTTATGACCATTGATCCTGGATAACCAGATTTTTGTGCAGACTGGCAGTTCAGGGACTGCAGTTATTTAAAGGTCTACAGATGGACCACTTAGGCGTGTTTGTTTTGACCTGAAAGGGAGAGTAGACTTTGGTCACCTGCCTCATCCGGTGCTGGCCCACCTGCGCTCTTTCTTTGACCGGTGGGACGCCTGCGTGCTACAGTGCGTCCGGGCTAGTCAAGACACGCTGCTCGCGGACGATGTGATGTTTGAGGTCAGTGCAAGCTGTGAACGGTTTCTCCTGCATTCCCAACCTCAGTCCGAGAGATTGGTTGCCGCCGGCAGGGCCCAGACCCGGCGGGATTCATTAATTCATTCAGGTTCCTCCTCCCGCAGGTCCTGGGCCTCCTGCAGTGGCGAGACCGCTTCTGGGCCGTCTCGAGCTCGGTCGCGGCAGACCCTCAGGGCATCGCCCTGCTGTCGCTGCACTGGCAGTGGGTGCAGAAACACCTTGTCGATAAACTGCCCCGGCTCCTGGTGGGACCAAATAAGTATGAGTGAGTACATCAATAAGTATGAGTACAAAATCCAAAGCAGGGTCAGACTGGCGGCCTGCGCGTCTGCTTGTGGAGATATCTGTAATACTACATATTTTCTATTAGATTTATGTGCCATAAGTAGACAAAAAAGGCACAAAATCAATGAGACATTCAGATGTGCGTTGTATGCCTGAGCTTCTCTGCATTGTTAATATTTCCTGAAGGAAATCGAATTGGTTTTGTTTGACGGTCTGTGGAAATGAGCACGGAAAGCTGCTTGATTTCGGCAAACCGTTCAGATTTCCATTGCATCCTTCATCTTTTTTTTTTTCCTCCCAATAGGTGTGAACAGGAGGTTCAGTCAGTATCTACAAACATTCAGAAATTACTCTCCAGTCCCACTTGTGTGTACTCTGCTGTGAAAGGAATACAGAAGGTTCTGGGCAAACCTCTTCCATTTAAGGTATTTCGAATGTGTGGCTGACGGTGACGGTACACACGACTGTTGTCACTCATTTCCGGGTTTGTGAGGCAGTCGGGAGGAAAGGCAGAGAAGCTGCCGATAATGCACGCTGTATCTTTTGCCATGTCTCACATCTTAAGGGCTCTACAAACGCATTGCTTAGTCTAAAGTGTGTCGCAGGGAGACATAAAAGAAAGGCTGATGTGAAAGAGAAGATAAAGCCTGTCCAATGTCCCTTAAGGGCTGGCGCTTTACAAATTCATTCAGTTTTCTGATTTATTTATTTTTTTCCCCACGACCAGACTGGATTTGCGCTGGACCGGACCTTGTCCATTGACCGGGCAGTTCTAAGCGCGCAGTTTCTTTTTCTCGCCCATCAAGGCGGAGTCTGTTGCCGAGTGCGCCTCTCAGCTGAGGGTCCTGAGCAGCTTGCTGGATGTGTGCCGTCTCAGGCCGGAGCGGACCGGATCCCAGTGGAGCCAGGAGATCCGCAGGCTGGAAGAAGCAGCTATGGGCTTGAGCACCAAGAAAGGCCTTCTGGAAGCCTGGGGCCTGGTTCTGCAATCCAACCATCGCCCAGAGCCCCACTGCACGGGTAACTGCTGTAAATCGACAGCCGGAGCCCTCTCTGGGCTGATTCACTCGAGTCGTGCTTTTGACAAGATTTTTGTTTACTTCACTTGACATCTCCCTGTCCCTCCTGATACAAAACCATTGGAGCCAATGACTCACTCTACACTGGCGGCTTGCGCAGAGCGTCAGCAGCACAGCAGAGTGTGCAATGCTATGTTTTTTATGCTTCAAGTCTGTGTTTATCTGGACTAAGTGGAGCGTAGAAACACAAATGTGCCATGTAATACAATTTGAGATATTTAATTCTTTCATCACACCTTCTCAATATTATAGCCTAGTGGCCCGGTAACCTCAATTAAATTATATATTTGCCAGTCCAGGTGCCTCTAGTGTCCCTGAGTGGTCATTCAGAACTCTGTAGCTGAAGGGGATGACCAGTAGATGAAGTCATAAAAGTCGGGTCCAGTTTGCGTTTTAAGTGACGATTTTAGCTCAAGAATCATTTCAAACATCATTCAAACGATTTAAATCTCGTCAAAGTGGAGAAGTTTTAAAGAGCTCTAACAATTAATTAACTAAATGACCATAATACAGTGACATTAAATTATGATTTCATTAATTAAATGGTATTATATTGAATTTGTTCTGAGAAACTGTTTCATATAGCAAAAATTCATAAAAACGAAAAACCTCTTTCCGTTATTTCTTATAGGGAAAAATGATCTGTTCCAGACCACACAAATGTCACCCCCTACTTTTACTTTTTTTCACCAAAAATGACAAAAGAAGCATTAATAACTAACCCTCATACTTTGGTTTGTGGTTTTTTAGTAATAAAATATACTGCTTACCTGCAGTTATTAGACATCATTAATTATACCTACGTACAGTACATTACCATACTGTACAGTATCCTCTTCATGTAATTGCACGCGCACTCACAATTGTCATTTTCTTAACCCCTTTAGGGTCCATAATAAAGTCTAAACCACAAGCATTCTTAAGAAAAGTAAGCGCACACAACGCATGAAGCCATGCATATTGAACTGCCTCACACATGTCTCTCCAGCCGCTCCAGAGGCTGTGCGTGGCTCACCCACACTGGTTAGAGGAAAGACACTCGATATGAAACCTTCCTATGATGCCTTCCTCTTCATTCTCTTCTTTTGGAGGAGGTTTCGAAATTTTTCTAAATAGTGCTTCTTCACAGTTTCGAAGTTGGCTTTCGCTAAACTGTGGGTAACAATTCATGTGCGTGTTAGTATCGCATTTTCATCCAATTAATATTTGTTAAAAGAGGTATAGGTGTATGTCGTATAGTTATTGAATGCCATTTGATTGTACATTTTGTAGGTGTTCGTGTGATATTAATGAAATTAACAGGATAAGCATAGGATCAGAAGATTCTGACTTGGGACTAGACTCTGTGTTTGCATGGAAACGGTTCATATTTACACAAAAGTCATGTTTTTTGCACTGATTGTTATTTATAATTATCAATAGTTTTTATCTTTAGAGATGTGAATTTTCTTTTTATTTCTTCATCACAACCACAGATGTTAATACCCATTACGTAATACCATTAAACTGTACTTTATTCTTTAATTAAAAAGGGTACCTTGCAAGTCACACAAGACTTTCAGTGTACTTCTGACTGTGATGTCCACATCTAGTGAAAGAAATGGATATTGATTTGTAAATAGCAACAGCCTTATTCTCTGTCGTTTTTCTACTGTTTCTAATTTTTCTACTGTTTTATCGAGTGTATGCAATGAAACGCAAATTATTAAATTCTCTGCCTTATTTTCCCCTTTTCCATCTCATTTAATTGCGGCATGAAGAAATTTCAGAGGTGCTCAGGTCCTCTGTGGAGCTCCGGCAGTCAGAAATGACCTCGACGGGCCTGATCGTCTCCCACTCAAGCCAGAAACAGGACGGGGGCGTCGGGGACCCCCGCCCGGCCAGCGAGGCTTCCCTCCGGCAGCTCTGCCGAAGGACGCAGCTGTGGCCTCTGCTGGAGCACCTGGCCGTCCTGAGTCAGTACCGGCTGACGGCGGACCTGCTGGACCTGTCTGCCCCGCAGGGGTATGAGCCACTCCAGCCTCCTCCTTTCACTGTGCCAGCTCAATCGATTGACTGGTGGAGTCACAGCCACTTCATTCATACTCTTCTTTTTTTTAATTTTTATTTTGAGGACTGCATTATGATATTGTATAGAAGTTTCAGTTATGATTACAGTTATTTGCGTAGTTTTTTCAGGACCTCCTCATCCTGTTCACCGAGGCTTCGGAATTGCCCGCTTTAATTTCTTGTTCCATCTTTACCCTAGGGAGAGTAACCTTGCCGTTCCCTTGAAGAATCATCTTTCTCAGCACATAAACTTCTGTTTGCACTCCACACCTATGAATGTGAAGCAGCTCCAGGGACTCTGGTTTTTACTGAACAGTGATAAGGTCAGAAACTGCTCTCCGTCCTTTATGTCTATGTAAGAAAATGTAGGACAATCTCGTTAAGTAGTTTTTTGTAGAAGTAGTTATGTTGTCGAAAATATGTACAAAAGATACCTCAACAGACGGTGTTCAAGAGTATACCCTAATTTCTATTTGTTTTTATCAGTAAGGAAAGTTCCAGTCTAACTGGTTTGTAGTATTCCAGGTGATCTTTTAATATACAGCCTGGTGTGACATTATTTGGAGCCACTTTTCAATAAAAACAAAAGTAAAAGAATGTACAGAGTTCATAGAAAAGAGAAACGTGAATACACCATTTCATACAATAAACAATTAAACTGAAGTGGATAAAAGTAAGATTTGAAAATATTGACAGTCTTGCAAGATCTAATTAGGGCTGGGGGATCATTCCACAGCCTTGTGGTGATGAGATAAGGTCAAAGTTCAAATGCAAAAGAATACAGTTCACCAATATAGCCAGGTGCCAATCTCTTCAAGTACTTAAAATTGAGACCAATATTGTGAATTATATTCTGAAATCCACAGGGAGCCAGTACAAGGAAGCTGAAACAGGAGAGATTCATTTTAGTATAAGTTAAAATCCAAGCAGCTGAGTTTTCAACAATTTGAATATTGATAAGTATGGTGTATGTATATGATCAAGCATTACATTGCAGTAATCAAGTCTGAAAAAGACAAATGTGTGCATTCGTTTCTGTGCATCAGATTGGAGAGATGACCATGTATGAGTGTTTTACAAAGTTGACTTAAAGACACCTTCACAACATGGCAAATATGCAAACTTTCAGTGCAAAACTCAGATCAAAGGTGACCCCATGGTCCCTTAGTTGACTACTTTTAGTTGGCTATTTTTAACACCATCAGCAGTAAAACAAAAGCTGACAGTGGCAGAGCTGATAAAAAGAGACAATCAGTTTACTTCCACTTTTTAACATCGAAGCTTTATACAGTTAGAGTATTACAGAGCAGTACAATTTCTTATGCCTTCAAGCTGAACAGATCTACATTGCAACAAATCAGCAAGCTAGAGGTAAAAATCAGATGCATTGAGTCACAGTTCAAGAAGGGTTTTGAAGTACTAAAATGGATAGATTTAATTCTTTGAAGGCTATAGAACTAAAGCTCTTTCCAGGTACAAAGCACACGGTCTTGTCCTTAATAATTAGTAAGGAGGCTCGCCCATTCCTACACACTAAAAGACATGCCAACACAAAAAAATCCAGTCCGTTCTTGCCAATACTGATACAGGCATGCTAATGCATTTCTGCACATGTCATCCTTCTGTACATGTAAATAACAATAGTGAAATCAAGGTATAAAATGATTCCTAAAACAAAGATGGAAGGTAACAGTGGTTAATGGGGAAAATTGTTCCCGCTTGACGTGCAATGTTCCATAAACAGAAGTATTGTATCACTAGAGGAAGCCTTTCCTACGAGTTTGTAGAGCACGAGCCAGTCAGTCGCCTCTTGGCCAGAGGCTTTCACCAGGAAGCAAGTCCACTGCAGCACTGGGCTTGGCTTAAGTCTGTCTCCTTGCTGCTCTTCTGGCCCGGAGTCTGATCCTGTCTGGCCAGGTGTCACCATTCTGACGGTAGTCCTTCTCGCTCACTGTCTGTCCTGTCTCTGGCCAGCCGGCGGAGGAGCTCCAGTTCCTTCGCTGCGAGCTGCTGTCCGAGGCCTTGGCAGTGTTCTGGAGCAGCGCCGTGACCTCTGACCCCGAGCACTGGCTGGCGTGGGACCCCCTGACCTCCAAGGAGGAGCAGAAGCCGCCGCCGACGCTGCTGAGCACAGCAGACAAGGTGAGTGGGTGCACTTCATTGTGTTGAACAATGAGAGCCAGACCTTCCTTATATTTTAAGTGACTCGTGGGACTTGCAGTAGTACTGCGCCAAACTGCTTCAAAGCAGGATGTATTCGTTTTTAATTTAGTAATGCTGAGGATTTGAGAGGTGGGCATGGGAAGTGTGTCCTCTGGGGCCTGCTAACAGAGGTGTGCCTCCGTTGTGGCAAAGGGTCCTGGCCTGATGAGCAGAGCAGTGTGGTCCAAGTGTCTGTTTGAGATCCTGACCAGCTGCGAGACGGCCGCTCGCTGGGAGCCCACCGGCACTGAGGTGCTCTCCTGCTCCCGCGTGACTCTGGGAGAGTGGAAGGAGCGGACGAGGCAGCTGCAGGACATCGGCACGCTCCTGTGGACCAACATGGCCTCCGCCTCCGTGGCAGACTTCAGGTAGGGCCCCGGGGAGGGGGGGAGGGAAAGAAAAGCCTGTCGCTTCACCTGGTTACCTCGATACGCAAGTGATCACGCCGCAGCGATGCTGTGCCGGCGCTCGTTATGATTTCCTATGCCCTGAACGTGATAAGATTTTGCCTTGTGGTTGACAAACAAACCAGGGAATACAAGGGGAAGCTAAGTGAAACTGCACTTCAAATCAAGAGCAGGAGGCACTTCAATCATGGGGCTGGGGGAGTCCGGTACAAGCGACCCGGCAGTGTTGTTGAAGCCGCTACCCTGGCTTCTTTCAGGGAATGCTCAGATGAGATCTAACTACCAAACAGTGAATGGCCTCCTCTCATTTGTACCCTTTCTTATGTTTTTATGCACCCATTTTAACACGAGTATGTTTTATTTTACGAACTCTCAAGTCAGTGCCTCGTTATGAGTACGTCCGCAGTGGTTCAGACCGGAAGGCGTGTTTCTTTGCCTCCTAGGACCACAGACTGCCGGCTTCAGGGGCTGGTGCTGCAGAGGCAGTTGCAGGCTCTGGCAGGGCTCCTCTCTCCGGACCTCCAGGAGGGCTTTCTGCAGAGCTGTAAGGGCCTGGCCGAGACGGGAGATGCCGCGGCAGTGGACGCGGTGCAGTCGGTGCTCGGCGCCGCCTTTCCTTCGGACCTGCTTCCTGAAGGCTTTGTTGCCACCGTGACAACGTGCCTGCAGCAGTTCGGTCAGGGCAGGCTGTCCGACGGCGAGCTGCCCCCCTTGGCCCGGTCCGCTGTGTTCTGGGTCAACATGGGCCTGTTGCAGGTCCAGGTCTGGACACCCCAGACCATCTTTGACCCTGCTGTGAAAAGAGCGTACAAGCTCACTTACGCCCAGGAGGAGGTGAGTTCGGTCTGCGCAATAGTTCTGCGGAAACTGCCTGCTGCAGGTTTAGGTGCCTCTGTTGTAGACCTTTTGTAGACGTTTGTTTGTGTTTCTGTAGTGCTGGTAAACTGTATCGATTTTTTTTTTTCACTGAGCATCAAAAGAAGCTTATCACTCAGTGTATGTATATTTTTAGAAAACTAAAGCACATGGATTTCGGACATTGATTAAATGTTTTGGTGTCATTGTGATTACTTGAACATCCATGACTGACCACGATGTGCTTGAGTGACTCTGGGGGCTGTAGTTGTACCAAATCTACTTGTGGTGAGTGCGGGCACCCCGATTACATGGTACTATGTTGATCAAGTCCTGGGACCCTCACTTACTAACAATATTGTCAAGGATGGGAATTTGCTTTGAAGGCAGGAAAAGCCATAACACAACATGTTTAACGGATGCATGGAGAGAAAGAAAATAAATAAACGTATAGATTGTCAATTGTCCAAATTGAACAGGTTGCTGGAATAAAAGCAGACTTAGATCTGTTATTCTTGAATCTAGGGTATCTAGATTCGACACCCAGACAGAAGGAGTTCAAATTCACTGTGCAAGGGGTGGTCATGACAGTCAGTGATTATATTAGCATTCTGCACTGTTTGCTTGACGTAGATGTCTAAAACCTGTAGTTGTTTCCAATTTTGCTGGAAACCTTCACAAAGAGCACGTGCTTCTTCAAGCTGTATGAGAGGAATGGGACAGAAACTCTGCAGCATCTGCAACCTTAATCTGGAGCAAAGCATGCTGCAGATGTGCAGCTTATATTGCTTCAAAGTTGATCACTCATGCTGCCAGTCAGTGACTTTTATAGTAGAGCTCCTGTTTGTCATCCCTGTTTACCTCTGTCTGTTCAGTGACGTGTCGGCACACCCGCTGCAAAAATATTTATTTTTCAGGGAAATTTATTGTGTTTTAAAGGTGATTTCTTTTGATGCTCAGTATGTGTGTTACAGTTTTCAGTAGAGTAAAAGGTCAAGGCTAATGTCGGTTAGAAAATGAGAAAGAGAAAAACGTTTTGCTTCTTCGGATATGTAAGTCAATGTGGAAGAAAGAGAACAAAAGTGGTCAGGGAGAGGAAAAAAGAGGAGTAAAAAGATATCTTTGTGACAAAATCTAGAGAAATTGTAGAAGGAAGTAATCTGTAGAAAGAGATTTTAAAAAATCATGTAGTCACTTATTGTTTCAGTGATTGTTCCCATTCAGCTTGCATGTTAACGCAAGGCCCCAAACTCTTAACGTCTATTTCTCCCACAGCACAGTATGTATGTGTATAAGACATGAAGGGTTTTCTTCTGGAAAACAGTTAAAGGCACCTTAAACTGAGTCTGTGAGCAGCTGCAGACTCCTGCCCCAGAGGGGTGGGTGATGGCTGCTCACTGCGTGGGCTGTGCTGATCCGTGCTGCTCTGTGTCTGTGCTCCAGCTGCGCTCGCTGCAGGAAGAGTGGAGAGCTCGCAGCCTGTCCGCCCAGCTGCTGTCCGGGTCTTCGCTGGGAGAGAAGGACATCTCTCACAGTTACCATCACCCCCGTATCAGGTGTGTAACGCAGTCTGCTGCACCTTAGGCGCGCGCGTTTTCAAGTGCACATTCCACATGTACCCAATCGTCAAGTACAATGCCTACAGAACAGCAGCTCCTGAGACATAGAGTGATGGCATGCACTTCCTAGTCTCAAGGTAATCCATATAATCTGAGGCTTAATTACAGTGTTAGAACGAAGCTACATGTGCTGTCATTGCGTCTCGGCGGCGAGTTAAACGCTTCCTCTCTGTGACCGCAGGTTCCTCTGGTCCAGGATGCGGCAGCTGGAAGACCAGATTGCCCAGCTGTCTCGGAAGCAGGCTTGCCGCCCCAAGGAGCCCCTGTACAAGCGGCTCTTCCAGGACGTGCAGCACTACGTCGGCAGCATCGCGCAGCCCGCCCGCGTCCAGGGCCTGCTCTCGCGCCTGCTGCGGGCGCTCCGGCCCCCCAGGCCCGGGGCCGGCGTGCGGGGCCTGCTGAATGAGGAGGCCGCCTGGCAGTCCTCCCAGCAGCACTTCGTCAGGAAGCTGGGGGAGGAGTACGCCCTCTACCCCGATGTGCTGGGCCCGCTGCGGGCAGCCGTCCTGCAGATGCAGCACGGCATGAGGCTGCTGGCCTCCGAGCTGTCGGCCTCGCTGGCCCCGCTGCCCGGCCTGCCGAAGCTCGTCTCTTGCCTCTCGGCTTCCCCCTCCCTCTCTGCTGGCCTTCCCTCCTACCTGGCCCGCGCCGACTACCTCTGCTCTCGGCCCTGCCTGGACGCGCTCCGGGGTCTTGAGAAACTCCTTCCTCCGCAAGACAGCCGGAGGCTGATCCCCGGACCGTCGGCTCTGCTGGCGAATGCCCTTCTCTACCTGCAGTGCCACACGCTGTCTCAGGGCCTGATGGAAGAGGACACCGTGGGACTCTTCCGACATGTCTGCCAGGTTGATACTCCAGTTCCTCTCCTCATTTTATAGCCTTTCTGTGATATAAAGAGAGTTCCGTGAAGTTGGCACCCCTTCACAGGGCACAGAGATCGAAACCCACCTCATTTGTTTGTGCTTATATCTCGGGAACGTTACATCGCGGAAAGAGCACCTCACAGCTTGGAACTCAGTAATGACGATAATAATAATAATGAAAATGATGATAATGATAACTTATTTATAAAGCGCTTATTCAAGCCCAAAGACGCTGTACATCCTGAATAAAGAAAAAGACAATAAAAGTAAATGAAAAGAGCATACAGGTTTTTACATGTTGACTGTAGGCAGATAAACACCTCGGTAAAAAGGCAAGTTTATAACTCTCTTCAAATCTAAACTTGAAAGAAGTTCTCGCGTAAAGTCTGAGGCAGGTCATTCCACAACACTGGAGCAGCGACGGAGAAGGCACGGTCACCGAAGTCCGTGATTTAGTCCGGCCCACAGCGATAGAGTGACCTGAATGGAGCCTGCGGGGGATAGTGTGCACATGGAGGAGTTCAGAGATGTGTGATGGAGTCAGGTTGTTCAGAGTCAGCAACAAGATCTCGAATACAGGACCCTCTAGGCAGCCAGGAAAGCAGTGCGAGTGCGGTGGGTCTCACTGTTGGGGCTGTTCGGTAGGGGTGCCGTCTTCACGGGGCTCCCCGGGGAGCCGTTGAGAAAATCGTGCGCGACCTCGTCCCCCCCGCGAGACTGACGCCAGGCGTCGCTGTTCCTAGGCCGTCGTCAACGAGTGGGACGAGCAGGAGCGGCGCGCGCGGGAGCGAGAGCGGGAGGAGGCCAGCCTGTACCGCGCCCGCAGCCACGGGCCCGGAGCCGGCGAGGAGGAGCAGGAGGAGAGGGCCTTCCGGCGCTCCTTTCCCCAGTACGGCAAGGTAACCTGCTCCCGCCGCCGCGCAGGCTGCTTCTGGTGAGCCTGCTGACCTTGAACAGCGTCTTGCTGCTGCCGCCGAGAGGGCCTCTGTGAGCTCTGTGCACACTTTCCCTGCTGGACGTTCAGCACTGGTTTGGCCTGGAGTGGAAGAGCCCCGGGTCTCGAGGGCTGCTGTGTTGTGAGCGCATGTTACGAAACGAAGTCGCCTATTGTGTTGAAAGAAGTTGTCTTCGGCATATAGGGGAGAGGAAGCTGTGCGTGATTCTGGAACGCTGCCATTCTGATCAGCGCAGGAAAGCGTGCTAGATACAAATATTAAAGGGCTGTTCTTCTGTTTAATCACTTTGAGACGCATACACCAAGCATCTCTGTGTGTGTTTCGCCCTCATGCGCGTGAAATAAAAACGTCTTTTAATTTCTGAGGTGGACTCCTGACTGGCTTTTAAGGGGAAGTGAGGAAAAAAATTCTGCAACACTTTATTTCTCCAACACAGACGTTGTTTTTTTTATTTACAGTCCATGCTCAATTTGGTTAGATGTATGTGGCTTGTTTTAGGTTTGTATTATATCCTTAGTGCTATGCTTAAGCTCTGCTTGCTCTATTACACAGGATTTCGCAGACATCACATCGGAGCCCAGCCTCGAGCAGGATGCCGCCATGGCGGAGGAAGAGAATACAGAGAGCGAGCTGGCAGACAGCGGCTCTGTCTCTCAGAGCTGCATGAACATGGTGGTGCAGGTTCATCAGCAGCTGTGCCTGGGATTCTCTCGCTCACTGTGGTATCAACCCCACCTGCCAGCCAGTTATGAAAAAGACCTTCTCCGCGCTCTTGTGTCATCCTATCAGATCGCAGCCCCCTTGATAACGCGCTTCTATCACTTGATTGGTATGTATCCGCGTCTCTTTCTATTGTAGGGGCATCCAGTGTTCCACCTCACAGTTGTTAAGAAGGTAGAATCGTCAAGATGTAACATGCATTTTACATCACAGTTGGCAATATACGTTCAGGGTGTTTCATAAAAACTTGTGACTGCGTGGATCATTTGCTTTTTTGTCATTTTTCCTGATGTTGACGTTTAAAATCTCCTAATCTGGAATTAAGGGCCGCCAATCTCGCTGGATAAGGCCGTCTGCTAGGCAAAATGTACTGTTCATTCTTGTTACCGTTGTCAGGTACTAGAAACCTTGTCCCTCCTGAAATCCGCACGCTTTCTTTCAGGCTCGGATGTGAATGCGCAGCTGATGGGGAGCCACCTCCTGCTGGGCTCGCTCCTTCTGAACGCAGTCAGAGGTGGGGGGCAGCCTGACCTACAGCTGGAATCCAGGGGGCCCTACGACTTCTACCAGCACCCCAACACGGCCGAGGCGCGGCAGTGCCTGCCCGTCCTGGAGGGGCTCGGCCAGGCGGTCAAGCAACGGCTGGAGGACTGGCCTGAGCACCCCGCGCTCGTGCAGGTGAGGGCATCGCGCTCTGCTGCCTCTATAAAACCGCCCCGCCCTTCACTACGGGGGGGATGGGGATCGAGGAATTTCAGGGTCGGGCCACGGGTGGTTTCAGGCGCAGTTGGGTTGGAAAGGCTTTGCAAAATGGATCCACAGAAGCAAGAGCAAGTAGCTGTCAGAGGTGTTCGATTTTTGCCGAATCCGCTGTGTCTCTACATGTCTGTGAAACGGGTGCGCATGTGGTTTCGTTTCAGCTCTTGGTTGTGATGGAGCGGATCCTGGGATTCAGCCTATCGAGCCCGCTGGCCAAGTTCCTGAATGGCCTAGAGATTCTGCTAGCTAAAGCACAGGTGAGGCAGGCGTGTCCGATTAGACGGACTCTTCCCCTGGGCGAGACGGAGCAGTGTCCTGTAACTGACTTCTCCTCCCCTTTCCCAGGACTGGGAGAGCAACGCCAGCCGGTCTGTGTCTTTGAGGAAGGAGCTGGAAGCCGTGACGCGGCTCGTCATACAGTGGCGCAGACTGGAACTGAAGTAAGAGCTGGCGTGTTGGCCGCAGGACTCTTCCCGATTTTAAAGCGGAAGTGTTGAGCGTTACTGTCGCCTGCTCCTTCCGCCAGCAGATGCTCTATGGGAATCACATGTCTGTTTGTCCACCTTGCACAGCTGTTGGTCCAGCAGCCTCGACAACGCACTGAAGCGCCACGCGGAAAAGTCCACCCAGCGCTGGTTCTCCATTTACCAGCTGGTGGAGAAGCACCTGCAGGACCACAGACAGGGCGGCATGGCTGGTAATGGTCCGCTGCTCTCGGCCTTTTTTTGTGCAGCAGATGTTTATGAAATAGTTACTTAAGTGAAACTCTTAAAATGGAAAGACGTTGCATTTTCCTTTCACTAATCAGCCCTAACTTCACAGAGGTGCTTGGCGTGAGTGTTAGCTTTCTGTTAAGACGGGGAAGAATATTTTGTTTTTCTTGGGCTGTCAGGCATGACTGCTCGGCTGCCTGTCTCTCTCACAGATGGAGATGCAGAGGGGGCGTCCTCTCTGTCCTCGGTGTCCACCACGCTGCAGGCCTTCATAGAGGGAGCCTCACTGGGGGAGTTCCACACCCGCCTGGACATGCTGCTGGCCTTCCATTGCCACGTGCTTCTCGCCCCTCAGCAGGAGGAGAAAGGTGGGCGCGCCCTCCCCCCACAGCCTCTCCGATACCGCACCCCGGATTAAAAACCGGCCCCACCGTGTTCCTTTTTCAAAGTCATTCTTCACTTGTGCAGTGGCATCAGGGTTGAACTTGTCTTACAATACTGCTTGGTCATGTTTGAAAAGTGAAAACCCTCCTGCAGTAGTCTGCAGTAGTGTGCTGTGTCCATCAGTCCCTACAGAGGGTAGCAGTGTGGAGCAGTATGTAGGGTTCTGGACTTCTCACTGGGAGGTTGTGGGTTCGAATTGCAATGGAGACACTGCTTTTCTACCCCTGACCTAGGTACTTCACCCAAAACATTGCTCCGGAAAAATTCCCAGAATGGGTACCTTTTGTAGATTGCTTTGGGTAAAGTGGTCAGCCAAATAAAATGAGTAATATTAAAAGCATGTAATGGAGATCAGTACTGGCAATTGAAGATTTCTCTTCTTAGTACAGGCTGTTGACTCAATTCTCATACAAACGTTGAAAGTTTCATGCCTATTTCATACTATTTATAATTAAAGCTTGTCCAGATCAAAATTAATGCAGTGCTTTATGATATGTAAAATGTAAATTTTGTTGTCATCACTAATGTGTGGTAGAAACAGTTTTTCTCAATTTGATGAACATGTCTGGTTCTGCAGAATCCCTGTGTAGCCTCTTGTGGAACTTATACAACTACTACAAGCAGTTTTCTGAGAGTGTTCAGACAAAAATCAGTGAACTCCGTCATCCCATTGAAAAGGAATTGAAGGTAAAAAGAAATCTTGTCTTTTGAACAAAATTAAAACATTTGAACATTTAGGGAATCTCGCCTCACCTGTTATCTGTTGTTTTTTCTTGGGATTTGTTTTTGTTTTTGTCATCTGTTAATGCTACAGTTCTGACCTAACCTCACAGATGCCCTGCGCACATGGTTGGAGCTATAGCTGTAGAAGTTAATCTGCTTCTCAATAAGTGAAGCTAAATTAATGGCCATTTGAAAGCACGTAGTTTATCCAAGTTTCGTTTTTACCAAACACGCGTTCACTTCTTCTTTCTCACGCTCTCCACCTGCAGGACTTTGTGAAAATCTCCAGGTGGAATGACGTTAGTTTCTGGTCAATCAAGCAGTCGGTGGAAAAGACTCACCGGTGAGATTCATACAGCGCGATATCACATGTTGTGGAGTATTAATGTTCTAATGTGCCGAATTCCCCGATCAGTTCTTAAAGATTTACCTAGCTTTAAGGAAATGAATCATTTAGGTGTGCATTCATGCATGCATGTATGCGTCTGCCTAACGTGTAAATCCAGATTGGACAGTGATTTAAATGCTTGCTCTTATTTTTTTATTCAGAACCCTTTTTAAATTTGTGAAGAAGTTCGAGGCGGCTCTGAGCGGTCCGTGCTGCCCTGCCCTGACAGAGCAGGGGAGCAGTGCAGATCTGGACTGTGTGGATAGTCAGTCAGAGGACACGCCCATCCACAGGCTCCACAGAGCCCTGCAGAGGGTCATCCCAGGGAGAGGAAAAATATCCAAGGTAATCTTCACGGGGAAAGACGCCTTCTAGCTTTCTAACTAACTTTTATAACAAGACCCGCAGAAAAAGCTCTGGTCTTCCTCTTCTTCAGATTCCCACTGAAAACATTTACTGTGAGATGAAATACTTGCTACGCTGATTCCATCTTTTATATATACTAGTGACATTCGGTAAAAGCAGATGTTAATAGTCCGACCAGTTTTAAAATAATCAGTGAAGTAACCACTGCTGTTTTAAATCCATTCATTTGTGTCACATCATATTCTACTATTGAAAGATATATTTCTTGGTAGATCATCTTGGGAGAACTTAGGGATTTATAAGTGACAATATAAATGTTGAAAATAATATTGCGGCAGTGTCTTAAAATACTTTGTTGTAGACAACAGGGTGTTGCAGGGTGAGTAGTCTGTTTGGGTCCTAACGCCTATGAGAACTTAGGTTCTTATGCACTGTGGATAATATTGAATAGTTTAACTTATAAAATAAACATTTTGCAGTTTTTGAAATAGGCGAATTCATTACAGCACAGAGAAGTTCCCAATGCCCAGTGCGTGCTCACCAGGGTATATCACTGAACTGAATTGTGTACTGGGTCTGGCAGGCTGAAGTCCCCCAGGAAGGACCCACCCCACTGGACCCCTCATCCCTGCAAGTCCGCCTGCCCTTCCTCACGGGGAAGATGAAGAAGATGTGTGTCAACCTGGTCAAGAAGAGTCCGTTGCCAGAGTTAACAGAGGAGCTGGATCAGTTTACTGGTAAAGATGGAGATGTCCAGTGTAAACATGACACTGTATCGATCTAGAAACACCTGCAAACTCCTGTTTTAAAAGAGTCTTTTAGTCAAATTAATAAAAGTATGCCGTGATAATTAAAGCAGACAGCCCAGTGACATAATGGTTAGCACTGCTGCCTTGCAGCATAGAGGACCTGCGTTCAGCTTCTGGGCTGCTGACTGTGTGGAGTTTGTATGTTTCTGCCACGTTTGTCTGGGTTTCTACCAAATGCTCCGGTTTCCTCCCAGTGTCCAAAAGCATTAATGGGCTTCTGGGAAAATTAGCGTGCTTATGCCTGTGTGCTTCTTTGATCAGAAATACTTATGTTCGGCAAACTGAAATGAATATCTCTTGAAGCTCTGTAGGGAAGATTTCAACTTTCTGAAGTGGAAACCATAGTATAAAAGCTCATGGACAAGTAATAGGCTCAATTAAGCAGTTTTTTATACATGGTGCTGGTCGCTTTTAAGTATATAGAGATGTAGGTTTATATGCTAGTACTGTATAATTGCGTTATGAAAACTTGTGTTTCTCTCATTTTTGGCGTAATTGCAGCTGAAGTCATAACATCAGTGCACGAGCTCCAGAAGCTCACTGTGACCCCATCAGCAGAAAAGGAGAAGCAGAAGTCAGAGGTCAAGCATATCCTTCAGCACAAACAGAGAGCCCTCTCGGATTTGTTTAAGATGCTGGCTCAGATTGGTAAGTTTGTTTCCGTCTTGGGAACTGGCAGTCATATTTTCCACTGTCGTGACGTTGTGTAATGGAACATCTCACTTTGCTGCCCCCCATCTCTGAGTGTCTGCTGCGGAATCCAACTTCCTTGTGTCAAGAGACCACTGCAGTCATCGGCTAGAGTTCCCACCGGAAAGGTGCTCTGTATCTGAAGCAGCAAATGTAAGGTTCTTCTGCTGACTGTGTTACTGCTACACATAGGCTTGTCGTACCGGAAAGGAGTGACCTGGAGGCGAGTAGCTGACCCCGTGGAGACTCTGTGCCTGGAGCCCCTGGATTTGAGAAGTGCCCTATCTGTGGTGAAGGCTGCAGACAAGCAGGAGAGCACGTAAGGACACCAGGGGCCTGTTAGAAACAGTGGACAGTTTCAGAGAGAATGCGTTCAAACCTTCTAACACAGAAGTACCTCACTGGTGTATGCGCAGAAAATACTTTTTTTTAGATTTGCCTTTATTACCTGAAATGTGATCTGCAAAGTGTGGGAAGCAGCCTAGTGCTCTTTAAAACTTGTTGGCTCGTCTCTGACCGTGATATTGGTGTAGGTGTATCCCTGCTATAGCCTGTTGTCAGTCTCGGTGGGAGACGCACTGTGAATCAAATTCGTACGATTTAAAAGAACCACTTTTTTCTCTGAGTCTGAGATAAGACGGAAAAGTTGATGAAGAACTGTGAGAGTTGGGATGTGACTGTTTACAGGCTGTTGGCGGAAATGACTGCGGCGTGGGAAGGCTGTCAGAAGTATTTCTACAGGTCCCAGGCCCGCCTGGCCGCGCTTCACACTGCTCTCCAGACTCCCGCCAAGGTAAGACTGGAGAAGGAGTGAACGGCGGTAAACACTGTGGTGGGAAAGAACAGCCCTCTAACGAGGCCTCACTCTCCTCGTCATTTGTTGCTTTTGAACCAACTCTGCCACTGTGGGAGCGTTGTGTTAAATGTCTTGTCTTGGCCAGCTCTCCTTTCAGATGCACTTCAAATGAACGCATTATATCTGCTGCTTTAGTTTTGTGTTGGCGGTGTTGCCTAACCCAGCCATGTGGCCCTTGCTGGGGTTACAGTAAAAAGAGCTGATCCGAGTGTTCTTGCCCCAGTGTCTCAGTGGCGGCTGTGTGTTGCAGGAGCTGTAAAACGAGTTACAGTAAAAAGAGTTGAAGAGTTCTTGCCCCAGTGTCTCAGTGGCGGCTGTGTGTTGCAGGAGCTGGGCCTGGGCAGCGTGGAGCGCTGTAAGGGATTCTCAGCTCATCTGCTCAAGCTGCTGATCAGACAGAGGAAGAGGCTGGCAAGACTTACACAGAACTGGGTCCACCTTAGGTAGGTCTATTATTTAGCCATCTCCTCTCTCTGCTCTTTCAAGTAACTTTTGGTGACGAATCTTAAGTGTTACCAGTTTTATCCGATCTTTGACTGCTTTGGCAAGTAATAGATCATTCTGGACTGAGTCATACCAAGTACATTTTGATGTTGTAGGAAGGACACAGAAACTGTGAAGGTGTCTTTCCAGAAGTTCATCCCATCAACTAGATAAATATTGGTATCAATTAAAGTAATATTTAAATCAGTTTACAAATGTATATGGTCAGACTTGCTGGAATATCAGTTAATGGTGGCACACATATTGTTATCCAACTAATATACCTGAACGAGACTCCTCAAAAAATCATTACTGTACCTCCTCCCAGTATAAAACAACAATTCTTTAGAGCTGTGAACACTGTAACACTGTTGCAACATCCTCTGTGTGACTAAAATGTGGCCAGTTATCTGTTGCTTGTTGTTTCACACTCAACAATTAATCTGCCTTCAGATTTCTTTCAATGGCCTTTCACAAAGGAGAAGAATGACATTTCTTCTGTAAGCGTCATCATCCTTTTACTTATATAGTGCTTTTCTGGTCACTCCACTCAAAGTACTTTACAGGTAATAGGGAATCTCGCTACCACCACCAGTGTGTTGCCCCCACCTGGATGATGCAACAGCCAGTACGCTCACTACACACCAGCTATCAGTGGAAAGGAGACCAGAGTGATGAAGCCAATTCATAGATGGGCATTATTAGGAAGCCATGATTGGTAAAGTTCAGGGAGAATTTGGCCAGGACATCGGGGTAACACCCCTACTCTTTTCGAGAAACACCCTGGGATTTTTAATGACCACAGAGAGTCAAGACCTCAGTTTTACGTCTCATCTGAAGGATGGCGCCTTTGTACAGTATAGTGTCCCCGTCACTATACTGGGGTATTAGAACCCACACAGACTGCGGGGTGAGCGTCCCCTACTGGTCCCACTAACTGGTCCCACTAACACCTCTTCCAGCAACAACCTTAGCTATTCCCAGTCGGTCTCCCATCCAGGTACTGATTTCGATTAAATTACCCATTTTGATCATTGGTGGCATTCTGAGACCTATTTGGAATGAAACTCCGCAGTTTCCGCGTCGGCTTTTAGAAATGAGAAACGGATGAGGATGAGGCGTGTCGTTGTGGCAATACTGGCAGCAGTGGTAACACCTCTTGATGTATCTCCCCTAGAAAACTGCTGAGCTGTATCCAGGAGATCCAGTCGGGCACGAGCCAGCCCGTGGGGGCGGACTGCGTGCTGCCGCCTCAGGAACCGCTGCTCCAGTGGACCCGCCGGAGCCAGGCTCTTGCGGCGCAGTGTGTTCTGGTGCTGGAGCAGCTGTCCTTGACCCTGCGGTGCTGCCCGGAGGAGAAGCCCTCTGCCCTTGCCCTAGCTGAAGGTGCGCAGGTCATTGAAGCGCCCGCGGGCAGAGGGAGCCCCGAGATCGATCCTGCAGTGGGGTGCCCCTCTCCCCTGGCCGCGGACAGCTTGCCAGCTGGATGCCGCATGAGGAGAGCTGACCCTGCCTGGACAGAGCTGACTGCCCGAGTGACGAGGATGCTGGCTGAAACAAAGGCACTAAAGGCCAAGCTCGATGAGCTCAACCCCTGGCCTACAGAAGGGAAGTTGCAGAGCTGGTAAGCAAATGCTGTTGAAGGTGGCCACATGCGTATCTTTCTCCAAAGCAGGCCGCAGTATTCCACACGTGTTTTCCTTTACGTGGATTGGGAAGTCCCGGAGGGTGCAGAGAAAATTAGATTCAATTAGAAGTTAATTGACTGGGATCCATACTGAATCATAAAACTCGACAGCTTTAAGCCTCATGCTGTTTTACCCACAGGAGCCACTTTTCGGCGTGCTGCTCGGGGCTCAGTCAGCTTGGAGGTGTGGCTGCTCAGCTGTTGCCCGTGGAGAAGCTCTTTAACCCAGCTCCTGCGGCCCAGACTGCCAACCAGGCCCAACCAGCCTTGTCGCAGAGCCTGCAGTACCTCAGACTTGAGGTGGAAAACAGCCTGACAGAATTCACCTCCTGGAAGACACAGCTGCTCACTCTGGGCAGTACTGAGAGCGGTAAGGGATGAGGCTTCTCTAATAGGACCTCACAGGCTCTTCAGAGGAGTCACATCATATGAACCCTTTAGTGTCTTTACATAATATCACAATTCAGAATATTTACAAGACGGCTGGTGAGCTTTTTCTTCCTCTGAATATTTATAAAGTTTTTGAAGACTTCTGTTTTTTTTTACATTATAGATTTATTCATTTCTGTGGTTTTGATATGAAAATTAAGCAGTTGAGGTCTTGATTATTTTTGTGTTCTTTGTTAAAATAAAAATGTGGTCACAAAAAATAACTTTTGATCAAAGAGATGCCCTCCTTGATGCCTTAGATTTCTAACATTATTAATAGAGGAGTTTTTAAATCTGCTTATTATACATGCAAGTGCAACGCATCCAATAACCGCCCGTGTTTTGTGTTCTTTTTCTGTTGCTCAGATTTCCCCAACACGTTCCCAGTTGACTTTTCAGAGCAGCTGGAAAATGGCATCAGCTCCGTGCTGTGTGCAGTTCAGAGCCTGGTGAAGAGAAGACAAGAGAGTGATGATGGGAAGGGACAGCAGCGAGATGAGGCCTCGCACGGTAGGGAGCCAGAAGAACTCTCCCGCTTCCTGTTCGTTAAGAAATCAGTGTTGTGGCTCCAGCACAGTGCGCATCACATTTTCATTATCCTGCTTCCTGTCTTTCTATCACGTCTGATGACCTTTTCTGTGAATTTTTGGGGGTCTTATAATTAGTTTTTTTTTAATAAAGATGTCCAAACCATTAAAAAAAATGTGCACACAAAAAAAAATCAGACATTGTACGTAAAGGCACAAATCACCTTTTTCAAAGACAAAAAAGTGTTCAAAGAAATGTAGTAAAATTGAAAATAAAAGTAGCCCCTACTTTCCAGAGGTTCTGGTTTAAAGAACATCTACCTACCTGCACCTGTATCTTGCATGAAGTAGGTCCTCCAGCAGGAGTTAAAACATTCCTTTATTTTTGTAGAAAATGAGAAAGAACAAGGAGAGGATTTGCTCAAGGCTGGACATTTGACCAAACTGCTGGAGGACGAACTGTCGATGGACGTGGCGTCTCTTTCCCTGCAAAAGGTCACTGGTTCAGTGGAGCAGCTACTTGAGATGCTCAGATCACATCGGGACTTGTGTTCCTCACATCAGTACCGGGTTAGTTTTTGCCATCGGCAGGAACAGCTGGACGTGTGTGTGTGTGTGTGTGTGTTTTCCATTTATCCCTGATGATAGCTCTCATTTTATATTGTGTGATGCAGAATGACACCTAACACCAGGTTAGGTGTTGAGTATTAGAATAGGTGAAAAGCCAAGTCCCAGATGAGGGACAGGCTTGTGTGTAATTTAAAGTTCTTGCATTAGCCACTGTTACTGGTAAAGCTTTGCAGACTGTGTCATGTTTTCAATGCATTTAACCATTAGGCAGCGTTTACCTGTTGAGCCCCCGAGGAAAGTGCTTGATCTTAAAGGACACCAGGTGTCTCCTGCTGACGCTCCTGCGTGCTCTGTTCTCCGTGCAGGAGGTGGCCGGGGCCATGGGGAGCCTGCTGCGCGTGCAGCCGATGCTGGCGGTGTACTCCGAGCTGGTGCGCCACTACCTCGCGGTCTCGCTGGGGGCTCACCGGAGCACCGGGAAGCTGCTGGCGGTGCTGGCCAGCGTCTTCACCAGTCTCGCGCTGAAGGTATCGCTTGTGGCTGCACGGGCCCTAGGGCTCATCTGTGCTGTGTTCTTGGTATTCAACACCCCTTTGTGAAACTGGGACGATTCCCCTGAGTACTCAGATACGAGGAGAGGTTTAGCCCACAGATTTGTGATGGGGGTAAATAATACAGGATTTGGAGCACAAAGTTAAGAGAAAGTGTTGGACATTGCTATTGGCCTTTTGATTAAATTCAGTCTATAATGAGCTGATGTGTGTTCCAATATTTGGAAAAGTGCCCTAAAAATGACTCAAAACAGTAGTTGTACAAGATGTTTTCAGCATAACCCCTTAATAAAGCAAGGTGCTGTAGTGTAGCAGAGCTCAATAATTCCTTTATACCTTTGGGTTACAAACCCAAGAGCACCGCTGCAGCAGGCCAGTTTTAGCAGTGAGGCTTCACCTTCCACGGTGTAAAGAGAGAACCAGAGGAAGTCCTGGTCCGAGAGAGAAGCCTTCCCAACCACGGTCTCTTTTTGTCCAGGGCTTCTGCCTTCCCCAGGAGCTGATGGACGACGGGTCAGGGGAGGGAGCCCCACAGTTCCATGACTACGAGGGAGGAGGGATCGGGGAAGGAGAGGGCGCGAAGGACATCAGCGACAAGATAGAGAACGAAGAGCAGGTGAGGACACCGGCTTGAGCTACTGGTGACCGTGTGAGGAGTGTCTCGGCGCTAAGCGAGATGAAGCAGCAGGGAGAACTGAAGTACACCCTTCCTGTTAACTCTGGGCATTTTTCACAACTGTAATTTTTGGAAAGAGTTGTCTTGTGTTTTTTACTTACTTTCTCATTGCTTTTATTAGCACACTGACAAAACACCGGGATGTTCTGGAATTATTCATTAAGAATACAATCCATGGGTTTGGAAAGGTGCTTTATAAATTCAAATTTTATGATGACGACGACAACGATGATGATTATTATTTTATTATTAAGCACCTTTCCAGACCCAAGGGCGCTTTTAGATTTGAAACAGTAGCTTTCATTTAGAGAAGAATGCGTTTTCCCTGCTGAACTAAAACAATCGCACACAGGTGGAGGACACATTCCAGGAAGGGCAGGAGAAGAAGGAAGAAGACCAGGACAGGGCAGATATCAAAGAGGAAGACAATGCCATTGAGATGTCCGAGGACTTTGATGGAAAATTACATGATGGAGACCGCAAAGAGCCAGGTTTGTAGATTTTTGAAGAATTGCGAGAATAAGCGAAAAATAACTGCGAAGAATAAGCATCCTGACTTTTTCTCTTTCCTGTGGAGTGGTAAATGGAAACAATGAATGATCTAAGGATAGAGTTTTGTTCTTTAAATGTTTTTTTAAAGTGTTTTACAAGTTTGTTGTGTGAAGACGTCAGCCAATGAACACTCTTGCCTGAGTAGTTTGAACTCTGTGATCAGGGCACAGGTTTGAGTCCGGTCACAGTGCTGGACAGATGCGACTACAGTTTCCCAGGCAGCAAACTCGCAAATTAGTCGAGTCCCTCTAAGGGCAGGATGGTATAAGTCAGCCAGGGTCTGGCTGGTGTTTTGCTCACTGTACCTTGAACTAAATCTCGGACATTTGGTGATCGTGCCCTTTCTGTCGCTGCTCCATTGTCATGGAAAGCCCAACTTCAACCTGCAAGAGAGAATTTCTTTCCAAATCCAAACTCAAAACTCGCCTGAGTGAGTGTAATTGACCTACATTCCATCTGTATGCTTTTATTTTTTACTTATTATTGTGCTTTTTTATTAGTACAGCATCCTAAGGTTTGGAAAGGTGCTTTATAAATAAAATAATAAATGAATAATAATAATAATGCTGGCATTCGGTGTTGCTGCTGGTGAGGGGAACAGGACAAAGAGGCGATTGTAAATTTATATGGAAAAAAATCGAATCCAATTTTAGAACCTGAAATTAAATCATGCTATAGGTACTGTTTCTTTCTTTAAAGCAGCACTTCAAATTAAAAAGTAAAAAACTGACTTCTGTTCTTTGATGTGAAAACGGCTCTCGCATTCATGGCCAGTTTGAGGTGGTCTGTTTGTTGTTTTTGACCAATTACCATCTTAGCTATAGGCTGAAATCCAAGTGAAAAAAATTGTCAGGATTCAGACTAATCACATTATTTCCTTTTTATCTTGCTGGCTTTGTTTTGTTTTGTTTTGTTTTTTTAATCTGGGGCTCTAAGTTTTGTGAGTTTTAGTCAATGTGAGCAATTTCACTCTGCAGTTTGATTCCTTGTAGCTTTGTAACAGATCCCCCCGACCAGGTGGTAACGTAACCAATTGGTCTGCACTTAAACCCAACCCGAGGGCGAGAGAGATTAGATTTCAGGCAAAAATAGCAAAGTCTGCGAATAAACCCAGCCTGGGGGACTGACCAGCCCAGGGAACCAGTCCGATGTTACTCCGCAGCCTCCTCAGAGCTCTTCCCTCTACTGCCCGTTGAGCTCCCGGTTAGAGGCCCTCACCTGGTTGTCTCGTTCTTGCCCATCTTTCTCACCAGCGGCCCGGCGGGGAACAAACCGAGGCTGCTCCTTGGTAAAAAGAGTCTCTACCCGACTTCACTCCGCTTGAAGACTGTAGAACCTTTAAATAAACGCTTTCTGAGGATCTCACCCTGATATCTTTCTTACTCGCTGTGCAGAGCAACTGTGAGGGTCTTGACAGACCAGCTCTGACTCCACACTAACAAGGAGTTTTAGGGCGCTGGCGCCCACCAGGTGCAGCCGATTTCCTGATTTCCTTGTGCGGGTGCAGGGGAATGTACCACTGGGACTGGTGCAACGCCGCCCTCTGGTGGTGTAACCCCCAGTTAGGCCTCGAGTGGGGTGGAGTGTCTTGTTCTAAGCGCCTTTCTGTTCCTGCAGGGGAGGAGGAAGAGGAGGAGTCCGAGGGGGAGGACGAAGAGGACCTCGATAAGAAGATGGGGGACCTTGGGGAGGGGGAAGCAGACAAACTGGATGAACGGCTGTGGGGAGACGAAGACGATGACGATGAAGACCAAGATGGCAGCGACAAGGAAGAGGAGTTTGGACAAGGAATGGATGAGGTTAAACAGAGATGGTTTATAATATTATACGTAATCTTGATAAATTGTATTTTGCTAGCCGTTCCCAATAACGCAGAATTAGTCTTTTTCTAAAAAATGTTAGAACTGCAAGAAGTTTTGACAACTTCCAAGCTAGTTCTATTGCCATGAAATCTAGGCAACATGAGGCCAGGCCTCCATCTTGGCCACAAATTCAGCCATGTGGACCGAAATTAAGAAAGAAAACAAACGCAAAATCCTTACGATTCCAAATCATTTCCACTTAAAAGCCTAGTTACTTATTGTTTCAGTATAGCAGTAATTCTCTTATCTTCATTGCTAGCGGAGGTGAAGAGAAGGTTCTAGTATTTCTTGGACGTGTTGCAGGGGCAGTCTGAGCTCGTGGCAAAGGATGACAACATGGACGCTGGACAAGACAAGGATGACAAGAAAAAGCAGGAAAAGGAGGAGGAGGAACAAGCAGACAACAAGGAAGGAAAAGAGAAGATCCACGAGCAGCTTGATGAGGTACCACACGCCCCCTGCCTTGAGCCCCTTTTCACTGAGAGGGCTTCCATGCACATAAAAAGATATCCCACACCGGTTCTGTACTGCCTTCCACGTGGTGGTGTAATCTGTCTCTGTGTTTGGTCCGGGGGGGGTCGTTGACGTTCTAGTCGAATGAAATCCCGGTGGGACTGGTGCCGAGAACGTGTTCAGTGGCTGCAGGCGGTGTCCGGGCGCCTCGGGGCTCACGGCGTGTCGGCTCTGTTTGTGTCGCCCAGCGGGAGTACGACGAGAACGAGGTGGACCCTTACCACGGCCAGCAGGACAAGCAGCCGGACACCGAGGCCATGAACCTCCCCGAGGAGCTCAACCTTGACCAGGAGGAGGACGAGAAGCCCGGAGAGGAGCAGGAGCAGGGCGAAGGTGGGAGGAAAGGAGGAAATGGCTATTACAGGCAGTAGAAACCAAAGGACAACACTGATGTGGGGATGTTTGCTCGTAACCATGCGCATTATTTTAACAGCTTGATCTGCTGCTTTTTAGTTTAGCTCTTTTCTGGTGGCCGTTTCTCTCTGCTAACAATAACTGTATTGACATGGCAGCCCCTTGCTCTTCTTATCTTTTTTAGAAGACAATCCATTTGATATAGAGGAGAAACCCATGGAGTTGGAGGAGAAGGAAGGGGCTGTGGAGGAGCAGGAGGGAGAGGAGCCCCAGGAGGCCCAGGGAGAGGAGCCACAGAAGGAAGCGGAGGAGGACATGGAGGAGGGGGAAAAGAAGGAGGAAGACCAAGAGCCTGAAAGAGAGGCTGCTGCAGAGCCAGATGAGGAGCACGTTGGAGAGGAGGAGAAAGAGAAGGAGAGCGATGCTGGCCAGGAGGATGAAAAGGGAGACCCTGCTGCTCAAGGCCAGCAGCCCAAGGTCTGTACCCCACTTGTACTTTCTCTCACACACACACACACACACACACACAGCTGAGGTTCATGTTGGAGGCAGAGAAGGGGCCCACAGTCTTTCAGAAAGACATTTCATCACATTGTCAGGATCCATGTCTTCACAAAGAATTGCGATTATAGCTGCAGTTGTGAATGCAATTCATAACTGTGGTGTGCTACTGGAGTGGCAAAAACAGAATCGGGATGATAGCCATTATGCTTTTGCTACAATTATTTGATTTAAATTCCCATCTTAAATGGAACATATTTCCACCTTATGCTGAGTAAACGTGTCTGACTGATTGTTGTACTGCGCAGTATAAAACTCGTTTAATCTTTCTTCCTAAGGGTTGCTGTTCCCTTCCTGATGATGTATTCTTACCTGGAATTATGATTAACTTCCTGATAACTCTGCTCACAGGGGGAAGAGGAGGAGGCCGCTAAGGAGGATGAGGAGCAAGACCTGCCCGAGTCTGCAGAGAGGAAGGAGCACGATGCAGATGGGCAAACCGGCGAGGAGAACGTGCAGAGTGACACTGCTGTAGAGCTGGCTGGAGCTGCTTCTGAGAGAGACCAGGCTAAGGAGGTAGACCTCCCATGATGCTTATCTTCAGTAGGGGGGGTCACTTTGGTTCAGTGTGGCTCAGTTTGGTCTCCTCACTTAACAGTTCCACTGAGTGCTTTTAGAGAATTTATCTGGGAGCCAGGCCTCACTGACACTCGCATTTGGTTAAGGAGTGGAAGGTTTTTCACTGATTGTTCACAGATATCCCATACTTATAACGTGCAGGATCAAGACTGACCACACGTGGTGGAAGCAAACTGCTTCCACATTTTCATTACAACCTGGAGACCGATTAGAATCGTCCCATAGAAAGGAATCTGGTCTGAATGTGAGTCTTGGAAGACTCACTACTTCGCCAGTCCTTTCCAGACTGATAAATGGAAACATGCCGTTTTAAATCTGTTCAAGTACATCAGATTAAAGTGTTTTTTTCCTTCTTATTCCTGGTGCTTAGGACGTGGGAATCAATGACTTTCTTACATGTTTGTCCTGCTTGTGGTAAACAGGAGCATGGCAGTGGGGCTGCCGATGCGAGCCAGTCAGAAGGTCATGAATCCAAGCTGATGGCCAGAGTCTCTTCCATTAAACAGAGCAGGAGCAAGACGGAGGTAAGAGATATTCCGGAGTCATTGATGGAAGGACTTGAGAGTTTCTAGCTTTTACCTGTTCTCCTTATGCACGTGTAAACAAATGGTCTGAAGCAAGCATCCGTTTATAAAGGAAGTCTGCTACCTAAGTTCTTGCCACACATGCAAGATGGCCCAGATCTCCTCTTGAAACAAGGTTCAAACCATTCCCCTCTCAATGACCGACTTATTTCTGTGTAGTCTTCTCTATTCTCATGCAGGTTTTTTGACTTCACACCTTTCTTCACCCCTCTCCACTTTCCACTTCCTGAGTGGCCTCTCTGTCCCTCCTGCTTCCTCCTCTCTCCCAGCTTTTGTTCTCCTGTGCTATTTTATCTTCGCTGTCTGCCCTGTCTTTCTCACACCTGAAGAAGGCTCCACGGCCAAAACATTGCGTTTTCTCTCTTCTCTTTTCAGCATGGAATAAACCTACTACTTGTCCCTTTGCAGATCTCCCCTTGCCTGATGTTCCTTACCTTGTTTCTAGACCAGTGACTGCTCCATATGACAATAGAACTACATTGTGTTGGAAATCAGTTTCATTTTCTGAAAGAAAACACTCTTTAAATCTTTTCACTTCCGAGGGCAGATGCCTTACAAGAGGGGATGTACAACTTGTAATTTGTGTAGAAAGGTAGAACGCTGGTAAATGGCAACATCATGACTTTATTTTAAATTTTCCAGGCTTTTTGGTTCGAGATTGTCTAGGGGGAGATCCTTGGTTTTGGCTCAAAGCGGCTGACGGGACGAGTGTTTTGTGTTTTAGAGTTTCAAGCGGAAGCCGGGGAGGGCGGACAACGAGAGGTCCACAGGAGACCGCAACGAGCGGGTCCACAAGAGGCTGCGCACGGTGGAGGCCAGCGCGGAGCGGGAGGAGAAGAGCGCTCCGCCCGAGGGCCAGGAGGAGGCTGACGTGTACGAGCACATCAGACAAGGAGAGCAGGCCTACGACGCACAGACCTACGGTGAGACGACTCGCCGTCCGTCGTGTTCTTCGGATGTGCAGTTTCTGTGTCCCCTTTCTTTGTACAGGTTGAGAAAATCCAGTTCATTTGGCATCTAAAGAGGGGTCATTGGATGTGTTTTTGATGTTGAACATAGTACAGTTCGTCTCGTCAGCATGCCAACCAATGAAAACTGTCCAGAACAATCTTTTATTTTGTTCTGAGCTTCGTGACGTGGTTCTAAAATCTGAAAATGATTCAAGTTTTTATTTGACTTATTTCTAGTTCTTCTGCCGAGTCGCTGCCCTGTGATAAAGGATAGGGCTTTGACAGGGGCTAATTATGCACTGTGGTGCCAAAAACCACTGCAGCTCATTCAAGCAGAACAGAGAACAACACAAAAACCTTTTTGTAACCTAGGGTGAAGCGCTGCAATTTCATATATGTTAAAACAAATGTATGTTGAGAAATGCTTATTATGACCATCTACGATAATGGAACAGGTCCGTTCCGTGCAGAAAAGAAAAGACACAATGTTTCAGCTACTCCAAGTGTGAGAAGGCATGGAATTATCATTTACCTGTTCCTCTGCACCATGCGCATTCTGCTGCCACGCAGGCACGAAGAGAACCAGCGTCTCAAGTTCAGAGAGGGGGTAAAAGTGAGGTTTGAGCAGTAGTGTTGAAAGCTGTTAAGAGCACAGAGGATTAAGAGGAGAAGGAAGCCACACGTAGAAGATGGGAACTAGAGCAGAGGGGGGCACAGACGTGGTGGTCAGAGAGGAGCAGGGCGAGCGGCCTGAGCAGAAAAGGGACTCGAGAGCAGAGTGGGGGTTATTTTAGGTGCCTGCTCCCAAGTAGGTGAGAGATGTTGAAACGGAGAGTCGGAGCTGGTGATCTGGACAAGATAAGTGGGGATGGGATCTGAAACGCAGTGAGGTAGACTTGTGATCCAGGGGCAGAGAGTAAGAAGGGCAAGACCAGGCCAGCAGTCGGGTATCATGGGAGAGGGCAAGGGAGACAGAAGATGCCTGTGCAGTGTCATAATGTAACAGACGGCCTCCTTCTCGTGTGTATTTAGAATCAGAAGGGGCGGTTTTCAATCTGTGTTGTCTACTCATATCCCAAGATGTTGCCAGTACTGAACAACAGAAAGCTGAAGGAGCCAGCCAGGAGCCAGAGCAGGAGGAGGACGATGTTGCCATGGAAACGGAGCAAGAGGAGGAGCATCTTCAAGAAGTGAACGCCCAGGAACTCAAGCCAGAACAGAACCGCTCCACCTCTACTAGACCACAGGGTACGCTGGTGTTCCCCAGAACCCGTGCACAGGGGTTCTCCTTGTGTTCTACCTTAAATCAGACAGTCTTGTACAAGTTCTGTGTTTTTAGTTTACAAAATTCAGACGCATCAGGGTTTTAGTCTTCCTTCAGCCCTGATTAATCTTCACGTTTCAGGTGTGGAAAGTGGAGAGCTGGAGAACCAGCCCTTGGGAGATGAAGATGAAGAAGAGACCATGAAGACTGAGGACTCCCAAGAAGACAAGTCGGAGGTCCTGCCAGATAGAAGCTCTGAGTCCACGGTGCACACTGTCCCCGAGCTCCTGGAAGACCAACTGCAGGTATTCCCACATTATAACACAGTTACTGTGTCAAAATCATTCACATGCTTTTTAAAGTACTCATTTGGAAACATACACGTAAAGTACAGTTATGTCACACCAGCCGTAATATTTACTTTGGACAAAATAAATGGAGCAATACAGGCTTTCACAGTCTTGCTGCTACAGCGCTGCAGGCAATTGACAAACAAAAAAATTCACTGCACGTGTGTTTTCTTTTTAGGGAGATTTGGTGTCGTCTGGGTTCATTATATTGAATTAAAAAATCCACTTAATACTGTTCATCAATATTTTCTTAAGTTTCTATCTGAGCATTATTATTTGTTGAAGGAAGACTGATCATGGATTTTAATCAGCAAAGTCAAGCCTACAGTGATTTCGGTATACTTTGTGTCTGATGAGCACTTGGAAGTAATCAGCCAGTTTATATTGTAGCAGTCGCCCTTTCCCCACGTGAAATACGTGTGACAGGGCTACTGTCTGCTCCAGAGGAAAGCTGAGAGAGGTGCTGGTTAGATAATGTTGCCCTGCTGATGGGGCACACAGACAGGCACAGGGCAGAAATCAGGAGCAGTACGTTTGTGAAATAGTTCTGGGTCTGTATTTTGGGATTAGTCCTCCTTGCATTACAAGAAAGCATGGAGAGTTCATTCTCCACTCACTGCCATTTCTTTGTGAGTCTTGTTAACCTGAACTCTGAAATAAACACATTGCCACTGGTGCTGACTGTAACCCCAACGGCTGTTGTAGACTGAGGTGAGGGACCCCGAAGAGCTGAGGAAACAGCTGGAACAGCAGCTGGACGCCTGGCAGAAACTGCCTCCTGGAACCCAGGATGAGGTACATTTTTGTTTTTTTTTTGTAAATGCAGGTTCGGAAGGAACAATATAATGAGACATTCAGATTGTTCTATATACCAGAAAAATATTGAGTTACGTGGAAGTGCATTTAAAACCAAGAACAGGAGAACAAGAACACCAGCCTCCTCCTGGTCTCTTTTACCCAAAGGGTTGTGGGGGTGTGGAACAAGCTGCCCAGCCTTGTGGTTGAAGCCGATAGCCTGGCTTCTCTCAAGAAAGGGCTGGATGAGATCCTTGGTTCGGTTAACTTCCTACCCCCACCTGGGCTGGGTTCTGGGGTGAGCGAGTGCTGATGCCGTGTCTTCCCTGGGCTGGTGTTCACCGCAGGAGCGCGCCGCGGCCGAGATGTGGCAGCAGTATCAGGCGTTGACCTCCCCCCTGTCCCAGCAGCTGTGCGAGCAGCTGCGCCTCATCCTGGAGCCCACGAGGGCCGCCAAGCTCAAGTGAGATCTCGCCTGTCAAACAGAATCGTTTCTGGAGTGCTTTTTAGAATGGACCAATGTCTAATATTGTCAGCTTTGTTTAGAAAACATAATTCCGTACACTTATATAGCGCTTTTCTGGACACTCCACTCAAAGCACTTTACAGGTAGTGGGGATCCCCTCCATCAGCAATAGTGTGCAGCCCCACCTGGATGATGTGACAGCAGCCATAGTGCACCAGTACACTCACCACACTCCAGCTATTAGTGGGGAGGAGAACAGAGTGATTAAGCCAGTTCAGAGATGGGGATTATTAGTAGGCCATGATTGGTAAACGCCAGTAGATAATTTGGCCAGGACACCGGGATAACACCCCTACTCTTTTTGAGAAACACCCTGGGATTTTTAATGACCACAGAGAGTCAGGACCTTGGTTTTACATCTCATCCGAAGGACAGCGCCTGTTTACAGTACAGTGTCCCCGTCACTATACTGGGGCATTAGAGCCTACACAGACCCCACTAACACCTCTTCCAGCAGCAACCTTAGTTTTTCCCAGGAGGTCTCCCATCCAGGTACCAACCAGGCTCACACCTGCTGAGCTTCAGTGGGCTGACAGTGGTGAGCTGTGGAGTGATAGTATTTTTGTGGTTATTTTATAGTATTTTTGCAGTTGTCATGCGTAATAGTGGGTTATCGCTTTGTTTATCGTTTCTTTTTTTGCTCGAAATAGGGGAGATTTCCGGACGGGGAAGCGATTGAACATGCGCAAAGTTATTCCGTACATTGCCAGTCAGTTCCGGAAGGATAAAATCTGGCTGAGGAGAACCAAGCCCAGCAAAAGGGAGTACCAGATTTGCTTGGCCATCGATGACTCTTCAAGTATGATAGATAACCATACGAAACAGGTACGGGGCTCATGACACAGTGCGCTTCTTTTTCTTTACAGTTTCCATTTTCAGATGTATTTCTATAGTTTATAGACTCAAAAGCATATAGAAAGTTACATTTTTGCAAAGTAATGCTATGAAGATCCTTGCTAAGCCATAGAAAGTCAATTGCAAGTTGGAATATAGTTTATTTGGATGTGTAGTGTGTGTTATATTTTGTCAGGGATTGTCATTGAGAGTTGTTTTGTTGGAAAGCGCTGGTTCCTGTGTGCAGAAAGAGACCGGAGCTCAGTTTTCCGAAGGGCTGTTCGGGATAGAGGCCGATGCTGTCCGGTGGGAGCAGTGCTGCAGCCCTGTATAAGTACTGTTGTTTGCTGTTTTGCAGCTGGCGTTCGAGTCCCTCTCGGTGATCGGGAATGCTCTCACTCTCCTCGAAGTCGGACAGGTGTCTGTGTGCAGGTGGGGCGGTGCAGTTCCATAGGAACAGGTCACTTTCTGCTTGATGCAAAAGAACACGATTCACTTATCTGAATTGATTGGATCTTGCCGATGGTGGCATGGCTGTACACTGGTTAGCGTCGCTGCCCTGGGTTCGGTACCAGACCTGATTTGCTGTCCGTGTGGAGTCTGTATGTTCTGACCTTGTCCATGTGGCTTTCCTCCCACACTCCAAAAACACAGTGGTAGGTTAATTGGCTTCTGGGGCCTAGGGTGTTGAGTGTGTGCGAGTCTGAGCCTTCCCTGTGATGGACTGGCGACCCCATCCAGGTTGTACCTTGCCTTGCGCCCGTAGCTGGCTGGGGTGGGCTCCACCTCCCCTGCCACCCTGAACTGGAAGAAGTGCTTAGAACACGGATGGATCATGGAGTCGAGAATGGAGTTGGTACAGTGTCAAGACTAGGGCGCACCACTGTGATTAGAGCTGTGTATTTCCATACCGCAGCACTGTGGGTATACACAGTCTCGTCAGGCTGGACCAGTGTGCAAAGGGGTGAACTGCTCAAGTTTTTTATAGCAGAGGAAGACGAGATATTCCCCCCTTCGAGCTTCCTCTGAATGCAACCACCCACAGAGGGCTGTGTTCTGGCCAAGCTGCTCGCAACATACACACCTGAGCAAATACGTTGCTCTTGCAGTAAGCCGTGAAATGTCGGACCATCGGTTTAATGTTGGTTTTTTCCAATCCTCCTGTAGTTTTGGAGAGACCGTACAGCTGTTGCACCCATTCCATGAACAGTTCAGTGATCAGTCTGGAGCCCGAATACTGAGACTCTGCAAGTTTGAGCAGAAGAAGACAAGAATAGCCCAGGTGAGTACAGCAGATCCTCTCCCGAACAATCTGTGATCTCGTCTGCAGCAGCTAGATACTCTTATTACTTTACACATTGCTTTTCAATGACATTTCTCGTTTCTGCATGTGTGTCTTGTATAAATGACATCAGATTGATGCTATACTGAGCGTAAGGGTGTATTTTAGAATTTATAAAATTGCCTTCAGTTCAGATTGTGTTTATAAAGGTGCCTCCATCCCTTTCCAAACTGCTGGTGTTACATCACATTTAGTGCACACTATTGTGCTCACCCTGTCAAAGAAGTGAAGAGCCATCGTCTGCTAGCATTCTGTTTTTTCAGTATTTCCTGCAGGTGGACATACCATTTAGAATTAATATAATTTTTTGAGCTGACACCATTGAAAATTGAACAACAATATTTGAATTGTATAAGCCCTCTGTTAAAAAAATATCTTCTAAAATCACCATCTACTAAAAACATTCTAGCACTTTTCTGATAAGGTCCATGTAAACTTTGTTGCTTGTTTCCATTTCTTCAGTTCTTGGAAACCTCAGCCAACATGTTTGTTTCAGCCCGGCAACAATCCCAAAACAGCAGTAACTCAGGTGAGTTGTTATACATTTAAATAAGTTATATATAAATATAAATATATATATATAAATATTGCAGTCCACATTCAAAACACAGGGCTTATTTGTAGATGGTGCACAATGTTATCTTGCCTTTAGAAAATCCCAGGTGCTTACTGCCACATTCTGATTGTTTGATTACCTTGATGGTAAAATTACAGATCTGCATAGTAATGTAAATACATAAGAAAATTGTATTTTCTACATTTTTCTGTTAGAAACGGATAGTGTTCATTCATAGATGAGATCCTTAGATCACTTACTATTTGCTCTTAAAAGTACCTTACTCAGCTACATAACAATGGCTTGTTCCAGGCACCCCCAACCTTTTGTGTAACCTGCTTGTTCTCAGCGTTTACTATAATTCCAACTTCTGTTTTCTGGTTCATATTTCTCAGTACATCTTAAAAAATCACAGTATGATTGTCAGCTCCATTAAGGGCTTTCAGCACTTCAGCCATATTTGTCTGGATTTGCTCACCCAGAAGGAGGATGTGCCTACAGTTACACTCCTGACTGTTACCTCTCACATCTGCATGATGGTGCATTATTTATAATAATAATAATTGCTTACACTTATATAGCACTTTTCTGGACACTTCACTCAAAACGCTTTACAGGTAATGGGGATCCCCTCCACCACCACCAGTGTGCAGCCCCACCTGACAGCAGCCATAGTGCACCAGTACGCTCACCACACACCAGCTCTCAGTGGGGAGGAGAACAGAGTGATGAAGCCAGATGGGGATTATTAGGAGGCCATGATTGGTAAGGGCCAGGGGGAAATTTGGCCAGGACACCAGGGTAACACCCCTACTCTTTTTAAGAAAAACACCCTGGGATTTTTAATGACCATAGACAGTCAGGAGTCAGTTTTATGTCTCATCTGAAGGGCGGCGCATTTTTACAGTATAGAGTCCCCGTCACTATACTGGGGCACTAGGACCCACACAGACCACAGGGTGAGCACCCCCTACTGGCCCCACTAACACCTCTTCTAGCAGCAGGCTTAGTTTTTCCCAGGAGGTCTCCCATCCAGGTACTGACCTGGCTGACACCTGCTTAGCTTCAGTGGGCTGCCAGCTGTGAGTTTCAGGGCGATATGGCTGCTGTTTCGTGCCTGTTGGCTCAATTGCGCTTTTTCACGAGCTGAAAAGCGTCTTGAGATGGAGACTGTGACTCGTCCCGCAGAGACGGCCCAGTTGCTGCTGATCGTGTCGGACGGAAGGGGCCTATTCCTTGAGGGGAAGGAGCGCGTGATGGCCGCAGTGCAGGCGGCTCGCACTGCCAACGTCTTCGTGATTTTCGTGGTGCTCGACAATCCCAACTCCAGGGTAAGCGCCGCTGCACTGCGAGTGTGACAGAATGAGATCCGGCTGACTTCAGATCTCCATCCCTGCGATGTCACGAGGGCAGGGAAGCCGTTCTGTTTTTCATAGAATTCAGTGTAGTGAAAATAAGAGTGGCCAGGTTTTGTAGTGCAGATATTTTCAGTATATTGGGAGTGAGACGTACTGCTCGAATGACCGCAAAGGGTTTTATTTTTTCGGGAATGAGAAATGCTGTGAATGACACCGTTTTCTAATTTACAGTTTACGGTCTGTAAAGAAAAATAATATTTTCATGTAGTAGAACCTTCGCTGGTTCTCTGTGAAATATTGTGGGGAAAAAAAAGTGTTATTTTATTCCACGAGGACAACTTAACTAGTAGTGTCACAGGAACTGGTATGAAAAGACAAGAGAAAACGTTTCAGCTGTGGAGCCTTTTGTCATGTATTAAAATGTGCTGCCTTATTCTTATTTAACCAGTGTTTACTTGTCTGAATGATGTGAATGCTGTCTTTATTAAAAAAGGCTTTAATACATTGCTTTGTGGCAGAACCCAAACATCCTTCAGTTCTCTGCCATGAAGGGAGATGGGTTTTTCAGTGGGCTAACTCATCATGGGTCTTGCTTGTCCCTGCAATGGCCTTTCCTTCCGTCCTCGCTCTAGCTGCCCGAGGATGACAACACTCACTGCTGTTTGTGTCCTGCAGGACTCGGTACTGGATATTAAAGTACCCATCTTCAAAGGCCCAGGAGAAATGCCCGAGATCCGCTCCTACATGGAGGAGTTTCCTTTCCCTTTCTACATCATCCTCCGAGACGTGAATGCGCTCCCAGAGACGCTGAGCGATGCCCTGCGGCAGTGGTTCGAGTTGGTCACCACCACAGATCAGTAGCCTCTTCATAAACCGTGTGGGCCTTCTGTGCATCTGGGCGGCTGCTCTCCTTCAGTAGCAAAGTCCTGGTACATCTGCTGCTTATGTGCCCTTTGAGGTGTTCACGAACGAGCTCAACTTCTGTTCACTACCGCCGATCTTCTGCCTTTTCACTTTCCTTCAAATGCATCGGAAAGGCAGATGCATCAGTCTGGGCGTCGTTACAGTTTTAGCTCTTCCCAGGGGATTTGAAAAATGCAATTCCCACAACCATGCAATTGTCACTATTCCCTACACAGCAAAATCTAGTATTTTCTTTAACAGTAAGATGTTTGTGAATCAGGTTACATAGTACTAGAAAGCAAGTGCCTTGTCACCTCAAAGGTGTGTTGTTCCTTACAGTGCAACAATAAGTTCAATAAAGGCAAAGCATGACATAAAAAAATCAGCACGTCTGAAGGAACAGGAACATGATCTGCGTTTGTGAGACTATTGTACAGAAATGCAATGTATTACCTCTATTGTATGTGTTTTGCAAATAATGGAAGTGCAAATAGATAATGTATTCATGCAGTCTGCATTAGCAGCAGTTATATTCATGTTTGTAATCAGCATTACTGTTGGTAATGCAGAATGTGAAACCAGATGGAGTTAAAATGCACAAGAGGTTTTAAGTACAAGTTGCTCTTCAATTCTGATGGGAAAATGTCACTGTTTACCTTAATCAAATTGCAATGCTGTGCCTTCATTTATTTCCACGCAAGAGTAATGTGAAATAACTTGGATTTTCTGTTGCTGTTTAATAATGAACATTTAATTTGCCTTGAATAATGATAGCAGTAATTACCAAAGCACCTAAGAAAGGTTAGCAAATGAGCAGAATTCATACTTTAACCAGATCAACATTTATTTTCAAAATACAGTAACTGTAGTGCTGGATATCATTATTCAAAACCTAATTTAAAAGGTTGAACTATGTTTTGTCATTTTTTTTAGTATGCAAACTGTATATTGCTCAGGTCAGCAGGAGAATAGCAAGGTGACATTGCAATACCGTGAGCACACTAACCATTAGTGTGTACCCTTATCAAAGACTGCTTCATAGCATGCTTTATGGGACAAAACATTCGTCAAGATTATAATAAAATATTTCAATGAGCTGCCTTGTCATTGCTGTTGTGAACTGGTTTCCTGTTATTTGTTTTCATAAGCGATGGTTGAATTTACTGGAAGAGTAAATTGTGAGACTGCTTTTATGGCTACCCAAGAATCAATAGGGCAACATAAAATGCTGTATCTGCACATGGATTTACAGAAAAGAAATTGTTAATACAACAGCAATGTTTATCACTGCACTATTGTGCCATGCAGCCTAAACACATTTCTGTCTAAATGAATGTCAGCGATTTTAAAGGAGCAGCTGAGAAGACCAGAAAAAAAAACACGTAGAAACACAAAACGAGAGACCACAGAGGAAAAATGAGAAGAAACTGCAGGAGACCGCCTCCTTCAAGAGACCCGAATCTCTAATATGATCACTAAGGACTAAGGAGTAAATCTAAAGTTCTCACTGTTCAGTGATGTGCTGTTCTGAAAAGGAAAATACGTTCCTGTTTTTTTAGATCACATTTTAAAGAGAAATGTAGTTCTAAGCAGGACTTTTTCTCAGATAAAACGTGGGTTACTTTCCTTTCCTTCTTCTTTCTGTTGAGGGTCTCGGCAAGCAAGGGGCTCAAAGCAGGATACACCTTGGGCAGGACGGCGGTCCATCGCAGGAGACACACACACTCACACCTAGGGCTAATTTTCCAAGAAACCAATTAAACTACTAGTATGTTTTTGGAGTGTGGGAAGAAACCGAGACACCCGGAATAAGCCCCCATGAACATGTGGAGAACATACAGACTCCACACAGATAGCACCCCTGGTCCAGAATTGAACCCAGGGCCTCGGCAAAGTATAGCAAATCTTTTCTTTTCCAGTTTCTCACTGTTCTCCATCCTTCACCCGCACGTATCTAGTCCTTGCTTTCATTTTGGAATGACTAGAGCTCTTATATCTTATATACTGCTCCACAAACAAAACACACCATTACAAACACTGCAAATTTCAGTCCTACGTCATCGAGTGGACTCAGAAACTCGAGACAGAATGTCTCTTTCTAAGAAACCTCCTGCATCTAAAAAAAAAATTAAAATGTCCAAGATGAAGGTAATGTGAATCAAAGGAACACGTAAAGGTTTATTCCATGCTGGAAAGAAAGCAGACGCAATGTTTTGGCTGTGGAGCCTTCTTCGAGTGTGTCCTATGGAATCAAAGGTTATGTTTTACAATACAAACACAATCCCAGTTTCTGGACTGCATAATTGAAGTTCACCTTTGAGGTCAGTCCCGCCCGGGGATAGGAAGATGGAGATTGTTCAATGTCTGCTAGTGTGGGCGCCGGTAGGTGGCGCTACAAGGGGAGCCGCTCAGTCAGTTTCCCTTCCCTCCACAGCAGGGCGCCGTTGTCCCACCTTTTTTTTTTGTGCGCATTTCTATGGTAGCTCGAACGTCACGTGTTTTCCTAAAGCGAGTTTGTGTAATGTGTGTTGTTGGGATATGTCATTGGAGAAAACTTGAAAAAATAGTTGAAGGAAAAAAAAAAAGAGGTTATCGGTCTACATGGCAACTTCACGATTGCCTCCAACAGCACTAACTCTGAAGCAGGTGAATAATGAAGGACGCGGTGAAAGTATCCGTAAGCGGTTCGGCAAGGTCACAGTAATTTGCCAGCGAGATTTCTTTTAAAAATAAAATTGTAGTCGGGACATGTCAAGTCTTTTTCTCCATGCAACAGAAAGAATGTATTGCGAATCCGTGTTCTTTCCGATGAAATGTGCTGAGTTGGCGAGGATAAAAGCATTAGGTTATGCTAGTTTACCGTTTGACTGGAGGCTTGGCTTTGTGTTTTTACTGCGAGACCCCGCAGAGCGCACTTCTGCCTGAACCCCGCTGCTCAGTGGGGATGCCGGCGACTGCGGCGGTTTGTCCTGTCCTGTTAAGTCGTGTTCAATGTCTCAGTTCATACAGAGACAGAAGGTGCTCGGTCTGTACAGGAGCATGCTGAGGACTATCCGGAGGGTCCCTGACGCAGCGGACCGACAGTTTCTTCAGAGCTGGGCAAGAGAGGAGTTTCGGAGGAACAGAGGTGCGACGGACCAGGTGCGGACTCGTCTCCTCAGTAATTACAGACATGCTTTAAGATGTCCCTCCAAACGGCGACCGTTCAGTGAACTTAGGTTAATCATTTTTGCGCGATGAGGACAGAGCTTCGACGTAGTTCGCATGGTAGATGTTTTTGGTATCAGCTTGCAGTTTTCCGACGTATATATTATTCCTCTGACTTCTTGTATGCCCTGTCGCCGATAATTGCTGCTGATCACGAGGGACATCGTCATTACAGAGGCAGAAGTGAACAGAGCATCTTTGGAAAAATAAACCCGTAGGAACCGGCAGCGTGGTTTTTCATATCGTGTCGAGGCTGATATACATGACACCGGGGGGAAAGCACTGACAGAAAACCGTAAACGGGTATCACCCAGTACACCTTCATGGTAATGTTCACACCCACACCAAACAAACCCACAAAGCGTTTTCTGATTAGGAGTTGCTCATAGCAGTTTCCCGAACAAAGATAAAGGGAATCCAGCTACATGCAAATATCTCTTTGGGACACACATGAAAGACTCGGGAGAGATTTCATTCCCTTTAAGCATGGCCGGTTCCGTGTGACAGGATGAGATTTTGAAGCATTATTAAAGAATTTACTTTGCTGAACACTTCCACCCCGATGTGATTTTTCTTTCAGCAGATAAAACAGTGCAGCACTTACAACCTCATAGCTAAATAGCACAAGGCAAATATAATTATTCTATTGATGCTGTACTGTACAGATGCACAGGTGTTTTGTTTCCGTGGTGCTGAATTCTACAACTCTTCTTGGTCTTCTCCAGGATGCGATTCGAATGATGATTACACAAGGGAACATGCACCTCCAGGACCTCCAGAAGACACTTCAGCTGGCTGGAAGCTAGCAGGGCCGAGAAACTCTGGGACTGGGACACTTTTTTTGACAGACTGTTGGAGCGTCTTTGTGACTTTGTTGACTGATTTATTTATTATGGTTTGGTTCAACAGAGGAAGAAACGGAACATTCCAGTCTGCTTCGCTGTGCAGGTTGTTATAATCAGCTCTTGATTATAACAAAAGAGAGTAGTGTAGTTTATCGCCATATGTACCCGTACAGTGGAATTCTTAATCACACTGATCTCTCCGGACATACACTGTACAATAGACAACAACACACAATGTAGGCGAAAGGAACAATATGTAGTAGTCAGACCACAAAATTGGTAGACTATGTAAAAAGTTAATAGTGCAAAAATTTGAAATACTCAGTTCTACATTCAGATAGATTATTAAAGAATGTTTGAAACTGGGTGGCATGGTGACAAAGGGGTTAGCATAGCTCCCTTATAGTGCCTGACACCCTGGGTTCAGTTCCTGGTGCCATATGTGTGGAGTTTGTATGTTCTCCCCATGCTTGTGTGGGTTTCTTCCCATAGTCCAGACAATAAAAAAAAAACTGAAGTCCTTCTTTAATGTTTCTAATAAATGCATAATTAACAACAATTGGATATTTGAAATCACATTAATGGTAATCACTTGGCTTTAATTGCAGTAATTTTCCAGTTCGTGTATGGCGCAAGGCTCGTGGCCACACTGTTCAACCATGCCTCTCCATGTCCGTCTCTCCTTGCTGCTTGAATGGATATTCGTCTGCTTCATTCTCCTGTCCAGCCTTTCACGCAACGAGACCCAGTACTGGCTCCATGCCTCTCTTGGCTTTGTGGGGGTTGTAGAAGAAACCCTTTTCTCCACAGACCAGATACAGAGTGTGACCCGCAGAGATGCTGAATGGCTGTTGCTTCAGTCATGGGTGGAGAAGACAGGACAAGCAGGGCGAGCAGAGAGAAAACCACAGAGCCATAGTACCAGTGCTGCAGAGAGCTTGTTCAAGACATCCGTAAGACCTCTCCAGATCTGCCAGCTTGCAGTGGCATCAGTAAAAGATCAGTGAGGGGTTTGCTGTCCCTCCACCCAGTGTTAGTTCTCCTATTAGATACTGTGGGGCTTGGTGAATCATTAATTCTTCACATGCAAGTTAGCTCCATCTGTTTTCTAGTGCTATTCTGCTTTTGCATATGTCAAGTCAAAGTTAGCAGCCACAGGTTTCTTCACCCATACTGGAACCAGCAGCTGGGCAACGCTAAGGTGCAGTTAACTTTGCCTGGAGAAATAGATTATACTATATGTGTCTTACTGTACAAGCAATTCCTTTTAGATTTGTGAAGTCAAGAGCAAGCAGTTGCTATTAATTTAATTCCATCCCTATAAGGCAACAAAGTTGCTCACTCTGACTTTAAGCATAAGGTGGAATTATGAGCCTGTTTAGTCTACTATGCTTTGTGAAGAGCTACTTGCTGTAAAAGTCATTTCCATAATTTAGTCATAGTTTCACTTAATAGCCAGCAGCCATATCACCCTGCAACTCACAGCTGGCACCCCACTGAAGCTCAGCAGGTGTGAGCCTGGTCAGTACCTGGAAGGGAGACACCTGGGAAACACTAAGGCTGCTGCTGGAAGAGGTGTTAGTGGGGCCAGCAGGGGGCGCTCAACCTGTGGTCCATGTGGGTCCTAATGCCCCAGTATAGTGACGGGGACACTGTACTGTAAACAGGCGCCGTCCTTCGCATGAGA